GGAGGAATCGTTTTGTAGAATGGTCTCTTCCCCAGCTTTGTTTCTCCTAAACATTTTACTGATTCTTCAGTCTGCTGACTTAGGAGTAAGTTCCATTGAACGCAACAGAGGCTTGCTTTTCTTAAGCATGCATCAGTTTGCAGTGTTAATCTCTGATCACCCACACATAAAATAGTGTAACATTGGGTCAGCTGGAGATTAAAGTATCCTCAAGGTTTTTGCAATGTTCTTTATGGAAAGAAAAGAAAGGTGTGCAAACAAAAAGAAAAAAGATTTTCCGCTGTAGGTCAGGTTTTCAAATAGGATTACATAGAATGGGACACTGTGATTTTATGTTTTGAAGAAACCTCCTTGAATTACTGGTCTTTCCTTAGAATGATATATTCTTTACTAAACATGTATGGTGATATTAAACTATATAAGGGGTCCACTATAACAGACCCTTTCCCTCCAGTAAGCAGCAAGAAAAGCAGCATTTTTAATGGCAGCAGCCATTTTGAATTTCTCAAAGTTCTAAAAGGAAGAAAGGACTTCTCAGAATAAGGCTTTTTTGTCAAACAAATACTGACCAATTCTCTTCCCCACAAAAGGGTATTCCTTGACCTTCAAATATAGGCAAAGTCAAACACTCTGTGAAAAGGCTGAGCAACTTGGCAAGTCAGAACAGCCCTACTTTAACTGGGTCTCACAGGAACTCAATCTCCTCAGCCTTGTTTTGGTGCCAGGACACACTCATGGGACAAGAGAAGCAAGAACACATCTAAGTATCCGTAGTGCATCTTTCTGTAACTACTAAGTAACCACCACAATCAACTCCTGTGATAGCAGTCAGAGCTTCCGGTTTCTACACTGTGTAAGATGGCCACCTAGGCATCACCAACAAAGAAAATCAAAGGGATGCCTGTTCAGTGTGCAGGACAGGTGGACAAGTTCACAGTCCCTGCCTGCTCTCCTTCCTTTATGATTCTTTATCTTTGAACTGGACTTCAGCTGGGAAGCCATTCAAATAGAGAACTCTCCTCTGTAAAGGAGTCCCCCTAGGCTTCTGGGTGTTATGGAATTCTGGGACCTTTGTTTAGCATTGCCACCATCTTTACTGTGTGCTGTTAATGGCTCTATCCCTGTGTCGCTTATCTAATACTTTTGGTCTTTCTGGAGCTTCCATGAAAACAGCCCAAGGCTGAAGAACTTGTGCCAGCCAGGAGACAAGACATTCAGATAAGCTGACCTGGTATAAGGCAGCTTCCTATAACACTGCACCATCAAAGGCACAGGAACTTCTGGCAGGAAATGAGGTTGCAAACCTGATCTGGAAAGCAAAATTGTGGAGCCACTTTTCCTTCCACCTACAAGCAGCAGCTGTGGTTTTCCTTCCAACTCTAGTTTATTCCGGAGTTACACAACCACTTATGCTCATAATTTTTAAAATCACAGGCAGGGAACAATTATTTTCCTCTGTTATTCCAAGCCCATAATATCCCCCCACCATTTCTCAGAGTCTGGGGCGTGCCAAAGGAGTAAGCCATACTCTTTCTTCACAGTTACATGGAATTTCTTGGAGCTAAGCCAGATCCCAGCTGTTACATAAATCTCTCTCTTTAAACTCTGCAGTCAGACATAGAGTTAAATTAAACTTGAATAAAGTGATGGAGGCAGGCATGTAGAAGGGGAGAAAAAGACCTAAGAAACTGTTTAGTTGAAGCTTTTGCCTAAGGTCCCAAAATGGTTTCTCAAACTTTAACCAGTTCTTCTAGTTTGCCTCTCCATCTTTACTCTTCCTCCAGCATCTTTTTTTCCTTTTTCTTTTTGGATCTGACACATACTTTAATTAGGCATCTTTTCCCTCCAACTCAAGTGCTTACATATACACCATCCAGCCTTTGTTGTTTGCACTGGTTTTCTGACCTCTGCCTGTCTGACTCGTTTTGGTCTGAAGTTTCCAAAATGATGACATACAAATTTGCATAACCACTACTGAGCCCTCAGTCTGGTGTCTGAGGAGCTGGGCCAGCTTTTTCCTGCCTAGCTGGCTAGGAGAGGGACAGTTCTGAGAGCTGTGGTCCACTGCATCTGGAGTGGGGAAAGCTGACCTAGGCTGCTTCACCTCCCTCTTGCATCTCTGGCAGGATGATCTATTGGCAAGCTGAAGTAGTCCAGTTGGCAGGACATCCTCTCCCATTTACAATTGCTTTTGAAGACAATGGAGAGATTGGGACCAGAACTTGGCAGATACGAGTGAGCCTTTCTTAAGGGAAAAAAATATATATATCTGCAGCAGAGTCTAGCAGTTTCCTTTCCTCCCACTAGTATCAAGGGAGCAGTGAAAAATATACTATAATAAGAGAGTCTGTATTCTTTTAAAGATAACATAAAAACAAGTTTAGTCATATAAACAATGGGGATTTGCAGATTTCAGTATCGGTCACTTAACTGTATTTGATTACATACTAAACAGGCATAGTAACCAGAACTGTTGTTTTAACTATTATAGTTGCAACAAAATACACTTTAAATTTATCCTGGCAAAAATAAAGTTTCAACATCTTGGTTGTATTATGTCGGTGCTCCGCTTCCTCAGCAACTGCAGATACATTCTGTTGGGTGGGTTTCATTTTCTTTTCTGATGTTGTTCTTAATAATTCTGTTGTCAGACTTCGGGCTCATAAGGTGATTAAGTCTTTTAGATTCATTGTCTCAGGAAGGGGGTGATATTCAGGGGAGGTACGGGTAGAGAAAGGTTAACCCTACACATACACACACATCAGTCAGGCATGTAAGAATATCTTCCTACTTCCAGATTTTTTGCTGAATTCACTTTGGTTCAGTTACACTTTTTTCAGGTTTCTTCTCTGCGTTGATCTGGATTCCATTTATAATCACTAGATGATGCTGTGATTTAGAAGAGCTGCATAAAGATCAGAGACTTTTGTTCCAGTATTTCCAAATAATTCTACACTTCTTCAATCTTAAAAAAATGCTCCAGAAGTGATTGGAAAGTATAGGAAAGTCTCTGGCAGAAGATAACATTGGGCAAGACACCTGCAAATTACCATGTGTGAGGAATTACTAGTATGTAATAAATGCAGAAAATTGGTAAAATCTCATGTCACTTCAGATAAGACATTGAGAATTCTATGTTAGGTTCCTTCCCACATGAATTGGGCTCAGTGTACAAGTGGTTGATGTCCACTGAGGTGCTGGCAATCAAATGCCTGGCCAGGCAATTGCCACTGGATGCTCTCTCTCTCGCTCTCACTCTCTTTCTTAACTAAAGCCAAAACAGCTGCAATTAAATAAGAAATCATCTAGTAGGTTTGGGCAGCAGTGAAGGAATGAAGGTACATTTGGAACTCTGAGGCATAAGATCAGGGCTTGAGTCCCACAGGCAGGATTATAAAACATTTCAATGGAAGGAGAAGTTGCCCAATCCTGACACAAGTACTGGCAACAAAAGTTTGAAAATAATGTCTGTGAACTGGAAAAAGGAAGGAATGAGGAAAGGAACTCAGAAGAAGGGAAAGTGGAGTTGGAATAGTGTCTGGCAGACAATCCAGGTGGGCAAGTAATATTGATGGGAATTGAAGATTGCAGCTTGGAGGTGCCACCTGGGTGGGGAAATGTTTCATTCATGTCTGGTGTGAAGGAAGAGATTTGTCCTCTATTTTTCTGTCTAGTTTGGCTTTTAGGAGATTATGGCATTAAATGTGTTCTGTGTGTGCTGGTCCATTTCAGCCAAAAGGTCAACAATTTAGACCAATTGTTTAGTTAGAAAAATAGAGGCAAGGCAGTTTTGTTTAGGAAGCAAGGTATTTTATAATGTTCAACAAAAGAGTTCAAGGAAGAGTGAGAAAGTTTTAACCTAGAAAATATAAATTGAGTAGGGAGCAACAATAGAGCATGATTGACCCATGACATGTGGTGGAAGTGGTGGGATACAAGAAGCAATGGGGCAGACTGATAGTGCTTGCCATATTTGAAAACATATAAAACAATGAAAGGGATTGTTTTGTGCTTGGAACAAAGAATTTTTATATTGAGATCCGGGGCAGTTTAATGGTGAGAGTGCTGGACTGAAACTTGGGAAATCTGGGTTCTAATTCCCACTTGCAGTGAAGCTCACTTGGTGATTTTGGGCCAATCATCAACTCTCAGCCTACCCTACCTCATAGGGTTGTTGTGAGAATAAAATGAAGAGGTGGAGGACCCATATAAGGTGTCACACAAATGGGAAAAAGACGGGGTATAAATATAGTATTATTTTAATGTATGGTAGATGGAACAAAGCAGCTCTTAGTAAAAAGTGCCAAGCCACCCTGATTCAACATGAAGCAGAACAACATGACTTCACGGAATACTAACGGGGCTGAAATATCTGGCTCAACAGACTCCATTTATCCTATGCCCTGCCAGCAAATTCCAGCAGAGCAGCAGCAGCAGCAGCAGCAGCGGCAGCAGCAGCAGCAGAAGCAAGCAAGCAAGCAATTTCTCCTCCATTCCTCCATTTAAATCCTCAAAGAGCTAGACAGCCTCTGAGCCTGTCTAGAGGAGATTCTCTCCTCTCTTCTCACTTTCTATTCCACCAGCACACCACCTCCCTCCCTCCCTCCCTCTCTCTCTCTCTCTCTCTCTCTCTCTCTCTCTGACCATGCCATTGCAACCACATAAAACAAGCTTTCTGCAGAGGCCAGGAGGGGCTGGGAGTAGGAACATCCATGATCAGATGTCCTCCTCTGTACTCCTAGCCCTGCCTACAAATGCTAGAGAGAAAGAACATCCTGTGGTACCTCAGATGCTACCTAGGGGTGATAGGATTGCTTTCCAAAAGAGAAAGCACTAGAACTGCAAGAGCCTGATCTGTGCATGGAACAAAGAAGGAAGATGCTCAGCTTCATGAGCAGGAGGCACATCATCACCTGGGAACGGAATGACTATCATAGTTGGTGCGGCTGTAGCCAATTGACTCAGGTGAAATAAATCACCTTTCACAAAACCAGATTAGCTACAAAGAATGATCCTGAGAAGAGCAAAAGGGCATTCACACAGTGCTTGATGGTTGTACATAACTTTGATACATCTGCATGCAGTCCTTCTTTATATTTTAAAGCAAGGTTTGATTGCAGGATGTTACCCCTATGCTTCCAGATGGCATCACACCAATTGTCCTGGTATGTGCATCACCATCATACTCATTCAAACAGTACTTTAACCAAAAGTCTGTTATGGGGCATTCACACCTGAATGATCTTAAAATGAACTAACTGCATTTGTCTTCCTTTTTTTCCTTTTCATAAACTGATGGAAGTCATGGAGAACCGATGGAAGATGCAGTGATGGTTTAGAGACCTGATCAGTGCCACGGTGGACATCTGGAGATTTTATAAAGCCCCCAAGTGATCTGAGGTTCCAACAACAGCCACAAGTATGTAGTGGGGCATACATGTGACCCATCAGAGTCAGAAGCCTAATGCCTTCCTTTCAACCTGGTTAGGTCCCAAGTAAGGGCATGCCCCCTGAGAACACTAGAATAGTGTTTCCTTTTGCACACTCCACCCAATCTCTGTTTGGCACAAGCCATGCTGCAACACACAGATAGAGACAACCACCAATAAAACTGAAAGGTCTTGTTGTTCGAAGAGCCACAAAAATGACAAGTCAGCCATTCGGGTATATACTGTTCTGAGCAGGAATTAGGTAGCAAGGCAATAGCCTGGAAGAACCACACAACTCTGGTAATTAGGATGACATTGCAATGGAGCTAGTTCCCAACTTGGTGCCCTTCATGTGCTGAACCTCTACACCTATCTTTCCATGCTTTCATTGTGCATGTGTGATGGGGACATTCTAAGGCATCTGGACTAATCACATGGAAGTTAATGTTTCTTTAATAGAGAAGAAACAGGTGAAGAAACTCAGAAAAGTATAATGAACCAAAGAAACTCTCCAGGTGGGACCTCAAAATCTGCTGCAACAGCTACCTTGCTGTGATATGTTCAGGGGCATATGCAAAAAAATCAAAAGAAAAGCTGATGCAGAATCCTGCAGTCAACAGAAGGCAGACATAGATATAGCAATAACAACAATTAAGGTACAAGAAACAATCAGGAAGCTATCACCTGGACTGTCCAGGTATGCTACAGCATCTGAGAGCAGGAAGAGCAAGAAGACAAATAAGTTTTACATTCTGGTTTAATTCAGTAAACATATGCTAGGGGAGTATTTTTTAATAAAGCCCCGAATGCCTCCTCACCACCTCACAACCCCCTTCTGAGCTTTCCTTCTGAAGGACAGAGATGCCAATTTGACCTCTAAGTTATAGGGAAGCATGGACATTTAGGGACACTTGCCTTCTGCCTGAGAGCTAGGAGCAATGCTTTTCTCCAGTCTTTCAGCTGGAACATGAACATTTATTTAACATAAGATAATTTATAATTTCTAAAAAATGCTGTTTTTAATTTGAGTTTGGACTTGAAAACAAAACAAAACAAAAGTGGTAGGTCCCATAAAAATGCAAGCCATTTCTGCTAAAAAGCATTTAATACATAAGAGAGGTGTTTCTTTCTTAAAAGTCCGATCCAGTCAGTGCTTCTTGAGGCTGCTGGTTTTCTGGTACAGCTGGTAGGAGTAGGCAGCTGAATCACATCTTATGGCACTGTAATATGCTTCTGATGCTCACCCCACCACAGCTGTGGGCCATTTTCAGACTTCAGTCTTCTTCTTCATTTCCATTCGGTAAATGAGCTGATACCCATCATCCCAGGCATAGATCTGCCTCTCTTTGGGATTGTACTTCATGCTGGAATGTGAGCCATACCGCTTTGGGAAGTAGACCAGGGCAGCATCTTCAGGTGCCATTGAGCCACTGACATCAAAAACGCACTGGATACGAGACCGGCTGGGCAGCCGCGTATTGTACACCACATAGAGAGCTCCACAGATGACAAAAGCACTCTCCGCATTTTCGCGAGGGCATGGGGTGTCCCACATTTGCTCAATGTCTAGAGAGGTGGGGTCTAGTTTGGCCAAGGCTATATTTCTCTCGTTTTCTTGTGTGGCATAGATAGCCCAGATCCCCTCCTCATCAGCCACCAGATCAATGTAATTGTAGGATGAAAGACCAAAGACAGGGATCTGTTCCTCAGCTGGAAAGACAGAACTATCAACAATAGTCTTGTTGGCCAAGCTAAACTTGATGACTTGGAAAGTGCCATGCCGGCGGATATAATACAGATGCCCTCCATATACCAAGTGTCCAGTGCCAACCCATGGGTAGGGTAACTTGATGCGGGTAGCCTTTCGGGTAGCAGAGAAGAGTGTGAACTCCCTCATTCTGGGAAAGACATACACAGTGTCATTGCTAGTACCATCAAAGACAAAGATCTTCTCTGAATTGCTCAGTGGGTCTTTGGTCCAGAGTCCAGCTGTGCTGCCAAATCGCTTTAAAATTTTCATGGCTTTCACCTGTGATACGGTGTCACTGCAATCTATAAAGAACAGTTAGAGGATACTTATATGCTTGGATCTGTCCCGCAATGCTATAGCACAGAATTGCAAATTGTACATGAAAACACAATATAAAGTCATGTGAGCAAATAGTAAATTTCAGAATATCTGGAATATAAAGAACATGATGGTGTAATCCAGCCCATACCTGCCCATCAGATTTCTCAGGAAATGCTTACCAACAAAAGTGCAACACCTACCATTTCGGAGTGCTCTAGTTTATTCCAGTACATTCAGTAGAGAAGTACTTCACTTATATGCTATTTTCATGACTGATTTCCTATGAATTAAACTACTGGTGCTCCTCCTCACTTTGTACCCATGCTGGGAAAAAGAGCAATGTCTGTCTCACAATCTCTTGATTGCATGAAGGAATGACACATTTGTAAGAAGCTCTTTGTCCCACTATTTTTATTCTGGAGGATTCTCTTTGTCATTTCTCAAAACAGCTTGGGACTATTCAAATGTGCTCTACATGGGACTGCCTTCTAAAACTGTTCAGCTTATGAGTTTTGTGGATGTGTCTGATTTACTGAGCCCATTATAGATGTCCTTTTCCATCCACTGATCATCCCTTGGCTGCTCTTGGAGTTGTCAGTGAGCAGACATTTCTCCTGTGCCTGCTCCTACTGGGCATTTTGCCTCACCCAGAAAAAGCAAAGGAAGTATGTTGCAGTTACTACATGACACTCCATCAGCCACCACAGAGGAAACTGTGGATGATGTGAGCCGCCCGGAGGCTTCGGCGAATGGGGCGGCATAAAAATGTTTTAATAAATAAATAAATAAATAATAAAAACTGAACAGGGGCAGAGCAAAGCCTGAGGAGAAAGGAAATCAGCTCAGTTCTCCACAGGATACCCGGAGAGGTAAATGCATCTCCCATACAAATATGCATAATGACACCCCCAAATGCCTTCTTTAAAAAGGAGAAAAATAACTTGGAAGAATTATTAAGCAGTAAAATGGGGGATGTGTGCTAAATCCTTTCCCTGCCTACCACTTCTCTGCTCAAAATCATCCCAGTGCTGATTGACTTGTTTAAAAATGTGGCATCAGGGGTTCTTAACATGTACCATTGCTCCCTTTGTAGCTAAGGATGTAATTATGATCTGCCATATGTTCACAGATTTCACTTCTGAGCAAACCGATTACATGCAAATACTTCCAAGCAAAAGCCAGTAAACTCAGTAGAATCTGATCGGGAGCAAAGAGGCAAGTGCGTAGGAGTGCTGCGGTATGAACACAGATGTGTGGAGGCACTTTAAGGGTAAGCAGGATTTCAACTGATAGGTGAGGAACCAAGATATTGTGTGATTTCTCCAGGGAGGACACAACAATGCAGCTAGCAAAAGACAGGATTTAGTTTGGGGCCAAAATCACTGCCATGAATGAAAAACCCTACTACAAGAAAATCAGCTTTGTGAGAATTTGAGAAATTGTGTGCCTTATAAAACAACTCATTATGCCTTGAAGAGCTGCTCATGTGCAAGGGCTGTAAGTCTCTGGGGCTGTAATCTTTGCACACAAGTACACATACATCTCACTGGTGTCAATGAGATGCAGCATTGCATCATACACCACCAACTTGCTGTCGAAGTAAGCTGGTTCTTTAGATCTCTTTAATATTGACATAGCCTAACAATAGCTGCTGCACATTTGTTTTAAAAGATCTCCCTTTCTGTTGCAGGGATAAGGCTTTTTCCCGCATTCAAAGTAAAATATCATTCTCAGTGCTTCTCGTCTCAATAACTATCCATTGATCATGAGGCAGTGTGCAGAATGCAGTTGTACAAATATCAGAAATCTCTATTGCAAGGATCCAGGAACTCAAGTCCAGGGCTGAATATAGTGTGCATGAGCAACTAAGCTGGCCTGACAGGATTCCCCAGAGGATCACACACTTTTCTAGTGGCCACTAATTATTTGGTGATTTTGCACAGTCCCACTTCCCTACTATAAAACCTTAAAATGCCTCTACCACTAGCAGTAAGAGCTTTGAGAGAAAATATGCTAGCATTTTTTGTATTCTGGCTCCATCACTTTTGTCTTCAGCTCCACTCACCACTGGAAAGAATTCCACCTACAAAATAGTATTCAGCTCCTGGGGTGAGAGATTCAATATCCCTCCCCAGTCGGGTTGTCCCTATGACATCACTTGATGATTAAGTACAGCACTACTGCTCCACCAGTCCCACCATTATGCAATAGGCTCTTTGTGATGATGGTGGTGGTGATCTTCAAAGGCCTGTGCATGTCCTATGAACATCCTTACGGTGTGTAACCAGTAGAAGGCTGCTCCTTTAAGGTGCGCTTCTTTTCACAAAGTAACAAACATCAAGATTGCCCTCTTTCCCTCTGCAGCAATCGTTATTTTGTAAAAGATGATTAAATGGGAGCAGTGGAGGGGGTGGTGTCATTTGAGAATTTTGTGATCCCTTCTTCAATCTCACAGAACTGGGAATGACCACCGAAGTTTTCCTATTTGCATTTTTGGCAGTCTTGACCACCACTACCCTTCTGGGGCAAGCTGTATACTACACATTTTTTAAAGGGTCCCATAACAGTAAGACTATGACTCTTCCCAAGACATAGCTGTCTCCTATGCCGCTAAGCATGCATTCTGTGTGATGGAGACCAAGTCTGACACTTACGCTTTCTTCTGAGGGACACGGGAACACAGGAAGCTGCCTTATGTTGAGTCAGGTGGTCCAACTAGCCCAGTATGTATGTATGTATGTATGTATGTATTTATGTATGTATGTATGTATGTATGTATGTATGTATGTATGTATGTATGTATTTATTTAGAGTTGTTATATGCTGTCCCATTGCTTAACGCCAATGTACCCTTGACAGCGCCTGGCAGTGGTTCTCCAGGGCTACTGGCAGGAATTTTTCCGGCTCTACCTGGAGGTGTCATGAGCTGGGATTCTGCCTGCAAAGTAGGTGCTCCACTAACGAGCCACAGCTCAGTGGGAGGGTCACACACAGACAAAAGAGAGCCGCTGAAGCCTGCTGTTCAGTAAGCACATCTGAGAGAGCTGCCGCTCACCTGTCAGTTTGTCATACTTCTCATTCTTGCGCTTCTTGGTGGTGGCAACCTGATTTTCCATGAGTTTGTCATCTACTTCCACACAGGGCGGGGCAGGATTTTGGGTCTCAAGATAGTCTACCTCTCGCTCCAGGCGGTCCACTCGCACTGCTGTGTTTTCTACCTCTGCCCGGAGAGTTTCCCGTTCTTTCTCCACTGACTCTAGCATGGAAACCACCTTGTTCTTGAAATCCCTCAGCTCACTGGAGTATCGGCTGCTCTGGTCATGCCACTGGGAGATCCGCTCCTGAGGAAAGATAGGAAGAGTGATGTGTAGGGCATTCAGCAAGCCACACTCCGTTCAGATTAGGGTTCAGGCAACTAGGATAGAAAAGACCGGTTCCAAAATGCTAAATATGGCATCCAGGCTGGACACTGAGCACCAGATTACATAGGATTTGAAAGATTACAGGAACCTCTGCTTTGTAGACTAAATAAATAAGTGTTGGACTCCCAATTCCATGAACTCTTCTTTAAAATTCCAACATGTTAGATACCAGTTCATTCTGAGATGTCTTAATCTGCCTTCTGCATTATTAGCTATACTCTGCAGATATACTGTCATTTTTTCCTACAAATATATTTCTTTTTAAAGGTAGCAAAATGCAGTTATGTTATTCTACACATTAAAGGGGCCTTGTCTTGGCAATTTCATTATTCTTCCCCTCAGTCAGCGCCATGCACCCATCTCCTAACCATCTTAGTAACTGCTGTAGAGTTATCAAATAAAGATTTCATTGATAAATGAATAGCGTGGTACAGGAGCACCATGCTCTGAAATGATTTTCTAAGGAGGTATATCCTAAGGAGCAATGACATTCTGGAATAAGGGACGGTATCTGACCCATACCATGCTGGGCTTCCCTCAAAAGAAAAAAGAAACTCATGCTCACACACACAGTCAGAGGGTCTGCACATCTACCCCACTCTCTCAGCTCTCAGACTACCAACGGTCATAGGCAACACTGCTTGTCGTTCTCTTAAAATATATGATTGTCTCTTATAGCTACTTAGGACATAGATCAGTTTGAAAATAATTTTTAAGTCTCTGGAGCCCTAGATGAGCCCCCAGTAATGAACTCCCCTTTTCTTTGGAGCGCCTTTTCTTAGGAGCCAGCCCCTAAAACAGCAAGTTTGATCACTCCTCACACTGTGTGCACAGTATGGAGGGTGCATCCTTTTCCATTCCGGTCTCACGCTCTCACCTCTAAGACAGCCATCCGCCTCTCCATGTATTCCATTAACTGTTGCTGTTGCCCGTCAATGGCATTGGCCAGGATAAGCAGCAGGAGTAAGGCATGTTGGAGAGCCATGACTCTACCTGGCATCTTGTGTTTTGCCAGGAAACTCTGTGCTGGATTCTAGCTCACACCATTGGAATGTTTTGACAGTTTCTTCATAAAAGGGGGGAGGGAGCACAGCCTTGTCTGCTCAGTTTTATTAAATCCAGATGTCTGGTTTTGGGAGGGAAGAGGCTGTTCTATCCCACAAAGAGACCAGCTTGGAGTCTTAACTCCTTTGTTGCCAGAATAATTCAAGCAACAAGACGGATGGGAAGTCTGTCTGACCACCCCCTCCCCCTGCAGATTCCTTTGCACTCCACAGTTTCTGCTTGCACAACAGAGATTTAACACTTCTCAGAGGTGAAATAAGTAGATACGCTCATTTCTGGGTTGGGGCAGGTCACCAGAGCCATCTTACGTGAACTCCACCAACTTGCCCCATTCTAAAATTAAAAACATTTCACCATTTCTGGCTGCCCCTGTTCCACAAGCTGGAGGTACCACTGAAATAGTGGGCACCACTTGCTGACCGGAACTGGTGGGGCTCTGGACAATCAGCAGGGGCATAAATTCTACCCAGTGAGTTCTTAAAGGAACAGGCATAAGGCAATGGAAGGGGGCTTCTTCTTTGTAGTGTGCTACCCTGTGAGGTCCAATTTGAAACATTACCTGGTGGCATCCTGACCTTCTGTTACCACCTGGTTCTGTTTTGGAAGGGCTTTTTTGTTGGTGCTGCCTGGCCATTGTTGGTTTAGTCCTTGTTCTTGTTCTTATTCATTTTTATTACATTTTTATACAACCCTGTTGCCTATCTTTGGGTGGCCTACAGATAAAAATATAGAACAACAATAAAAACAGTACAAAACAATAAAACCAATTAAACCAGATACAACAACTTGGCAACTCCCGGTGATTAAGAAAATTGATACATGGCATAAAAGCAGTTCAAATAAAGGAATATGAAAACCAAGTTTTCTGTTAAAACATCTGGTAAATAAAAAGGTTTTCACCTGACACTAGAAAGAAAACAAAGACAGTGCCAGGCACACTTCCTTAGGGAGCATGTTCCAGAGACGGGATGCAACCACAGAGAAGGCCCTTCTCCCAGCTGTTGTTCACTTACTTCTTTAGTGGGTGATTCTCAGAGAAGGACCTCTGTAGAAGATCTTAAAGACTGGGTTCGGAACATACTGAGAAAGGTGTTCCTCCTTAAATCTGGCCCAAGCCATCCAGCGCTTTAAATGGTAGCATCAGCACTTTGAATGGAACCCGGACTTCAACAGAGAGCCAGTGCAGCTGAAAGAGGACTGGCATATGATCTCATGGACCAGTCCTCATTACCAACCTTGTTGCTCTGTTCTGAACCAGCTATAATGCATGATTTTCAAGGAAATTGACATCTGATCTTGTAGCACGAGGGCAGGTTTCTCATTATGTAGTAACATTTATTTCAAATTATTTCATGATCAATTCATCACTCCAGAGAAGCTGCCACTGAATCCCAGTTTGAAAGTTCCTTCATGAGAATGGCAAGCAAAGCTTCCCTGAAACATACTTTGCCCAACACTGCCAATATTTCCATGCAATATATAGATATGGGGGAATAACTGCTAAGTTCTAGGACATCATACCAGTTCACACAGGTAAGGTTCACCAGCCCAGGCATTGTCCCACTAGCACCCTAGAATGGTCCCCAGGATCTTATGCAATGTCCAGCTGTTTCTGAAAAGACACATTAATACTGAAAGTGCTCCCTGGAAATAGATTTGAAAAAACCCTACTCTGGATGAATGCCTGGTGTCCCAAGAAAGGATGTCTCTTAAAACTGGTCCAGTGTTTGGTTTTTCTTAAAAGGTTTTCAAAAGTAGACAAAAGAAGAGGTGGATTTGGACACGTACAATTGACATTAATATCAATAACATTAACTGACAATGGAAGAGTAACTAATGACAAGAGGTCCAGAAACATTTAATTTTCAATGTTCCACATTTTATTAAAGTGGCTGCACAAATAAATAAAGTAAAATAAAGTAAAATAAAATAATAACAATCTGACAAACAAAGACAGTTAGAAATGAGTCACTGCTTGCCTGAATTAGCAAAGCAGTCAGGTTTTCAACAGATCTGGTACCAGATCAATATCTGTAAGACGGTCTACATTATTGGAGAATGCAAATCACTTGGATTATTTTCAGGCAAGAACATATCTCTTTTTTTTAGTGCTTCAAGGTCTCCTATCCTGCTATTAGAGGCAGGATAGGCTGTTTTTCCAATGCTGGTATATAGGGGGCAGCCTGCCTGTTATGCAGGGTCCCCATTAGGCACAAGGAAGTAACTGTCTCACAGGAAGAAACTGCCGTAGATGTTGGAAGGCAGTGGCAGCCATCCTCCTGAGCCCCTGGGCCATTCCCCTCTCTTGGATGACAAAGCTTTGTGTGCAATAATTTGTCCTGCACCCTTAAAACTAACTTGCTGCCCTCTTGTATGGTGAAGGAACTCATTGCCTGGGCTGAGCTGAAATATGATGCAACTACAATTCCTATCTGCTTGTGTATATTGAATGGAGTTGGGGGTGCCAAACTTTGCCCCAGGCAGCAGTGACTTGGGACAGCCATGCCATTATGAGCTAGGAGAGATGAGAGGAGGCTGCCCTATATTGAGTTAGACCATTCTAAAGTCTGTGATGAACAGGAGTGATGAACTGTTGTAATCTGAAGTGCCAAATTCTATTTTGGAGAAGCTCTTAGGGTCTGCATTCTGGTAGCGGGCAGCATGAAAAGCTAAAGTGGGCAGGATTAAAAATACCTCTTCCCAATTTCTTTGTTACTAACGGAATCACAGTGCATGTGCATTTCAATGCTGCATTTGTATACTTCCCCCTCTCATTTTATCACTTCAGTAATTGAAGTCCACACAAGGACAGGCCGAGGAGAGCTCTAAGAATCCTGAACTGAGTGGAATGGGAGTGTAAGCCCTTTGGAAAGCTCAGGTCTTCTCTCTCTCTCTCTCTCTCTCTCTCTCTCTCTCTCTCTCTCTCTGAATCGAAGGAAGTCACTAGCTACAGCAGATCAGATCATGTTATGGCACCAAAGCATGGACACTCCCTGGAGAAGACCAGAGAAAATTGAAAGCAAAAGAAAGGGATTACCAAATATGAGATGGAGTGACTCTACAAAGGAAGCCACAGTCTTGAATTTACAAATGCATATTTTGGAGGGCTTTCATTCATAGAATTGATGTAAGTCAGAGACAACTTGATGACACATAACAACAACCAAAAAAAGAACTTTAAAAAGCAAGGCAAAAAGAGTGATTGGTGGCTTATGAAAACAATGGGTAATGCCCAGCACAAGGCAAATGCTGGTGACATTGGAGGAAAGAACATGGCAACCTGACAAATCCCTGCAGCCTAAAATGGGTCTGATTCTCTACGGACTTGCAGTGAGTCTCCAGGGTTTTCTGCGGTCTACCTGAAGATGCAAGGAGTTGAACCTGGCACAGGCACCAGCCCTACCATGGAGCAACAGCCCTTCCCTGGCAGAAGAGAAAGGGAGACTTGCACAGCGAACCTTTCCCACACCATTATGCCACTGCCAACCAGCCATGTGAATGCCACATTACATTTCAATACAGGTTGCCATTTTGGGTTATGCTTTATGCATTTATTCTCATGCTACAAAAACTGTATATGAATGAGAGCTTCTTTTTTCCTCACCCCTCAGAAAAAGTTGCCGCTCTTTGAACTCATTTAATCAAAGTTTTGTGTCATGGGTCACTAGCCTTTAAAACAGCGTGTGAATTAACCATAAGGTTCTCTGCTGGGCAAACACAACAGTTCTGTTTTCTGCTTCTTCTGTATTTTGCGCAAGTTTAACTCACAGTCTCACAGTGCCATCTGCAGGCTGCACCAAAATGATAATAATATTTTGTCTTCTAAACTGAGGCAAACTTTTAAGACACATTTTATAACCGATCCTTCCAAAACAATTTTAAATTTTAATAAGATGGTTCTTCCAGTTGCCACAAGTCTAGAAATTATCCTACATGAGTTGTTGTTGATAGTGATACAATGAAATGTCATTGATTTGTCTTGTGGTACAAGAAATTCAAAGTCTATTTGACCAGAGATCTGCCTTCCAGATCAGATCTGAGGGCCCACACAGGCATGGCAGCCAACAACTTCTCCTGCTGCTGCTGCTGAAAGAAGCAGTTCCATCACTGGTCAAACTGGCTTAGATTTCATCCAATGGGGGACATTGTATTGTTTCTAGTCTGTGACCCATTGTTCTGTTTTAAATATTTGTTGGCATATTCTTGGTAGGCTTTGAACCAATTCGGCTTGGAATAGTTCCACTGGTACCCTATCTACTCTGAGTGCTTTATTCCTTCCATGCACATTTAGAACAGTTTTCACTTCTCTTTAAAACCTACAATGTTTGATACGGATTCCTCTTCAAAAGTGTATGTCATCTTTTTATCCCTCCCATATACTTCTTCCATACGTTCTTTCCACTGTCTCTTTATTTTAGCCTGGCCAGTTAGTATGTTCCCCTGCTGGGCTTTGAATTTCCATCAGGTGAAGAGGTCTCTTGTTTTCCCTCTTGTGTTGTTCTTTGTTTCTTTACCCTAGCCATGGTGTTTTATCATTGGCTCAATGACAAATCACACATAATAATAACTCATGGTGATTTCCACTGCAGTGTAGGGAGTGAACCCAACTGCCATTCTTGGTGGACATCCTAGTCATCATGACCTAGATTCTGAAGAAGTGGACCTTGAAGACTTGGTGATTGGCGCTTTAGAAACTTGGGGAGAGGGACAGCCCTTTGAATCACACTTGGGTTCCTAGGCTGACTGGGAGAGTAGAGATGTTTTGTAAGAGACAGGAGAGGTCCTAGAAGGGAGGATAGTGAGCCATTGCCTTCCCCAGTCCCTGACCCTGTGACAAGCCATCAGAAGAGACAAGCTGTCCTGTTAAAGGACCAGTGTATGTCTCACCAACTGCCCCTTACCAGTGGGAGCCATCCTAAGAGGGAGCCCACAGAATTATTGAAAGGGAAGGATTTGGGCGAGAGGTTTCCAGTTTGGGTTCAACACTCTTGACATGAGAAGTGGCTTATTTTCCAACTCACTAGAGAGATTTTAAAGTCACTTTGTCTTGCAGCTGCAAAGTGTCAATAAAGAGCTTGCATTGCAAAGAGACTGCCTAGTGTTTGGGAGTCTAAGGGCAAGAAGGGAAGAGCCAGGCTCACAATGCTCTGCATGATTTTTCATGTCGTCTGAATCTTGCTATGGAATTACTGTGCAGTACATTTGGAGCCTCAGATACTAAACTCAGATACAGTTTCTACATGGCTACCCTAGAGTCCAGTGTAAAAGCAGCAATTGCAGGAATTACTCTAGCCATCCAGTCTCTATAAACAGACCAACAAGGAACAGGTAGGCAACATCAGCAGGAGCACCCAGTCCCAGTGGTTGATGGGATACCACAGCCAGAGGGAAGAATGAAGCAGGGGGATAGAAACTATGCATGCGTGGAAACAATGTGGCTGTCTGACAACCTCACCCAGGCAAGAAACTGTTTCTTCCATCATCCATCTAGGTTGTTTTGCTACAGGAATTGTCTTTTTTGCCTTCTTCCCCTACATACAATAGATTGTTTCAGTCCATGGCTCCTCAGGGGCATGGTCAATTGAGTTCAGTAATGCAAATCTGTTTTTTATGTGACTGTACGTCGAGATTAGAGGGCCCAAGGGCTTTCAGAAGTGAATCATGTGTAAGCAGTAATGTTGGGGTAGTTTTTCTTGTTTTTTTCCCCTGCCTAGTTTTTATTCTGGCAACCCTGTATGGAAAGTGTGGCAGAACACCAGAAATTAAACCTCACCCCACCCCTCAAGTCAAGAAGACTTTGTTCAAATCTTGATAAGGCTATTTGCTAGGAGGAACTAAGCCATGTGCACAATCACTAAAGTGAGCAAACTCAGCATTCAAATCAATTGTTGCTTCTCAGTTCCTTCAGCTAAAGATCTGCTTTGGACCTGGCCAACTCATCTTGACTATCACAACTTTCTCATCTTTGCTCTTTCAGGCCTGTTCCATAAAATACCACTGCCAAAATTCTATACCTCTTCAAACTAGGATACCCTATTCTCAGATTACCTTTACTATCCCCCTTCACGTCCAGCATAAATACATAATCTTGCCTTTTGCATCATTGTCTTTTGGTCCTTATTTCCCCAATAAGGGATCCCCAACTATGATCTTTACTCCTCCAGCAATACCACTGCTACCTTAAATACCACTCCCATTTCCCTTTGCTGAAAATACACCTACTGCTAGCTCTTTGGTCCACTCCCTACTTGAAGCCTAGGCTTTTCCCATGTGATTTTTGGTTTAAATATTTAAATCTTCATTCCCAGATTTAAGTATATGCAATGGCATTTCCCTACCTTTGTCTTTTCCCTCTCCTTCGTTTTCCAGTTGCCTGTTTTACATTGTAAGCTCTGGATGAAGGAGCACATCTATGTTGCCTGTGTAACTTTGTAAGGTTCTATGTTCACTGAGAATGCAATTTACATAAACTTTCTATGGGCCACACTTGTTGTTAGTCGCGAAGTCGTGTCTGACCCATCATGACCCCATGGACAACATTCCTCCAGGCCTTCCTGTCTTCCACTATCCCCCGGAGTCCACTCAAGCTAACACCAACTACTTCAGTGACTCCATCTAGCCACCTCATCCTCTGCCATCCCGTTCTTCTTTTGCCATCTGTTGTTCCCAGCATTAGGCTCTTCTCCAGGGAGTCTTTCCTTCTCATTAGGTGCCAAAGTATTTGAGTTTCATCTTCACTATCTGGCCTTCTAAAGAGCAGTCAGGGTTGATTCCCTTTAGGACTGACCGGTTTGATCGCCTTGCGGTCCAGGGAACTCGCAAGGGTCTCCTCCAGCACCACAATTCAAAGACCTCAATCCTTCGGTGCTTAGCCTTCCTCATGGTGCAGCTTTCACAGCCATACATTGCAACTGGGAAAACCATAGCCTTGACTATACACACTTTTGTTGGCAGGGTGATGTCTCCGCTTTTTAGTATGCTGTCTAGATTTGCCATAATTTTCCTCCCCAGGAGCAAGCGTCTTTTAATTTCTTGGCTGCAGTCCCTGTCTGCGGAAATCTTTGGAGCCCAGGAAAATAAAATCTGTCACTACCTCCATTTCTTCCCCATATATTTGCCAGGAAGTGAGAGGACAGGATGCCATGATCTTAGTTTTCTTAATGTTGAGTTTCAAGCCGACTTTTGTGCTCTCCTCCTTCACCCGCATCAAGAGGCTCTTTAGTTCCTCCGCCATTAGAGTGGTATCATCTGCATATCTGAGGTTGTTGATATTTCTCCCAGCAATCTTAATTCCAGCTGGTGATTCATCTAGCCCCACCTTTCTCATGATGTGCTCTGCATAAAAGTTTAATAGGCAGGGCGACAGTATACAGCCTTGCCAAACTCCTTTCTCAATTTTGAACCAATCAGTGGTTCCGTGTCCAGTTCTCACTGTTGCTTCTTCACCCGCATATGTTTCTCAAGAGACAAATAAGATGGTACTCCCATCTCTTGAAGAACTTGCCACAATTTGTTGTGATCCACACAATCAAAGGCTTTAGCATAGTCAATGAAGCAGATGTTTTTCTGGAACTCCCTAGCTTTCTGCATGATCCAGCATATGTTGGCAATTTGATCTCTAGTTCCTCTCCCTCTTCGAAATCCTGCCTATACTTCTGGTAGTTCTCGGTCCACATACTGCTGGAGCCTAGCTTGTAGTATTTTGAGCATCACTTTGCTAGCATGTGAAATGAGTGCAATGGTGTGGTAGTTTGAACATATTGAGTGTAGCACTTTTACTGCATCGTCTTTTAAGATTTTGAATAGCTCAGCTGGAATACTGTCACCTCCACTAGCTTTGTTGCTGCTCAGACTTCCTAAGACACATTTGACTTCACATTCCAGGATGTCTGGCTCGAGGTCAGTGACCACCCCATCGTGGTTATCAGGGACATTAAGCTCTTTCTTGTATAGTTCTTCTGTGTAATCTTGCCACCTCTTCTTAATCTCTTCTGACTGTTAGGTCCCTGCCATTTTGGTCCTTTATCATGCCCATCTTTGCATGAAATGTTCCCTTCATATCTCCAATTTTTTGAAGAGATCTCTGGACCTCCCTATTCTATTGTTTTCTTCTATTTCTTTGCACTGTTCATTGAAGAAGGCATTATCTCTACTAGCTACTTCTAGTAGTGGGCCACACTACTATTCTCATAACATATGACATCTGTATATTTTTTCACAATTCCCTGTAGATAATTGTGCATCCTTAAAATCTATACCTGGAGCTCCAACGTAGTGATGATCATGAGCACTAATTTACCTACAGACACCTCTCTTTGGGCACAGCAGGCTACTTCCCCTCCTGATTTTATCTTGTTTTTACAGCTTTTAAACATTAAAACTTATTTTTAACTGGAAGCCTGGCATGCTACAAAGCAAAGCACTGCCCTTTGGCACCATCTTTGTCTTCCAAAGAGTGATTTTGTTTGGAACTCAGACCATCAACTTCTCACCAATTTGTCTTCTGGGAAATGAATGTTTTGTGACCATCCATGACCAATATGGCTGTCATTTCATGAAGCCGCAAGTCCAATCATGACAGCTATTTTGTGAGTGTTGACAGCATTAGCTTCCATCTTTAAAAATTCAGCTAGTCTACACAGATGCAAAGGTATGTTTGAAAATGTGTACGTAATGCTTAATATATTCTGCAAAGGCAGGGGCACTCATTAGATGTCTCAGGAGCAGTGCTTCAGTGCTAAATATTGCTACTTGCCATTCTCGTGACTAACAGAAATCAGAGCACAGTTCTTTATTTACTCAAAAGCAAGTGCCATGGAGATCATTAGGGCTTACTTACTAGAGAAGGTGGTATAAGAATGTAGCCTGAACTGTGATGTGTGCACACGTGTGTTAGTGGGGGCAAGGGTTAGCTGTGTCGTATGTGTACACACACACACACACACACACACTTGTCATACATTCAGTTTATCTTGGCATAGAAAACTGATTTAAACAAAAACATTTCAGTTAATTTGGGAGCTTTTTACCCTAAAACACAAGTCAGAAAACAGCAAATTAATAGAGTACAGAAAATTAACCCTTTTTATTGATGCATTGCAATTGTTCTACATTTTACCATATTATGTAGAAAATACTTAAAATACAAGCTACTTTGTAAAACCAAAGACAAACATTGAATCCAAAGATAAACTATGTTTTCACAATGGACCCTTTCCCCATATAGTTAGTATTAAATTTTTTAAATATCTGTATTTCCTTTTGTTAAAATGATTTTTACATTACCCCTAAGTACATTGGCAATACAAACATAGATCAGTAATTGTCAGAAACTACCTTTATCTAGCGGCTTGTAAAAAGGAAGAGCACAACCAGAAAAAAGTTAAATTCTACACAATAAACTAGCATATCAAATACATTTAATAAAGTAGGAATTCCATCGCAATATCAAGGATTCAAGCAGAAATACTAACATTACATATAATGCACTGCTACATGTAGTGAGTTAGATAATAGTTCAAGCTGAATTTGAAATCACACATTATATAAAGTTTAGCAACAAACAAACAACTATGTCAACATGCGGCACCATTCATAAGTTAAAATTAAAATGAGAAAGCAGGGCTGTGCCAATCCCAGTCACCTAGAAGCAATTAAATTTAACTTTTGTTTTAATTGAGTCAGAGGTATAGTACTGCACTGGTCACAAGATGTGCATACAGTAAAGCTGTGAAGTTGCTTTTGCAGTGGAATATCAACAGCTGTGAGGTGAGAGTTGAGCTATCAGGAACTTTTAAGTAACTGAATTAACTGATCACAGGAATGACTAGATGAAATATATTCTCTTGTCATTACAAAAAGGGGAGTTTTGCTGCGATACTGGGCTGCAGAACTGAACACAGCTGCACCTATGCAAGTCCCAAAGATTTCGGCAGGATTTGCATATACATTCAGCTGCATGCAAAAATACAGCCTCAGCACGGTGTGGAGAATCAGAAGTGGAATGGCAAGGAAATTTTTTATTATGTTAGTTTTGAGGGAAAAACTGTTATGTTCATTAATACATAAGCCTGCACAGCTGTGAGGCAGTCAGTACCTATCAGCTTACATCTCTCTGTCCAGTGAGGCAACTTGGATATGCACTGGGGAAAAAAGATGCAGCTAAGACCTATTAAGTGGCAAATATTGTCACAACTCTGCCATTAATCCTGGAGCTCATATGAATCTAAGTTTTGTCACGCAAACAAAATCCTTGCACAAGGAAACTAACCCAGGAAGTGCATTTATTTGGCTTGTACCTTACCTTTCTACTAAGAATGGTGCAATGGTTTTAGACAGCCTGACAACTCAGTTTCCTATGCACAAGGGATCATTTGCTTTGGATAGTGGAATATTCTACCACATGAGGCTCCACATGCAGATGAAAGCAACGGCATCCAGGCATACAGTTGCCACCTCATCTGCTCTGACAAAGAGGCCTTAGAATGGACGAAATATTAGTACATACTTGGCTGGTTCCATAGCTGCAAAGTATCTGAAAGCTGCAAAGCATTAAAATGGCCAGAATTACTTTGGAGAAAGATCTCCTAGACATGGTTTCTATCACTTAACACTGATAGGTTCTATTAGAGTTGAAGTAAACAAAGTGTTTTGTATCTTGGAAAAACATGTTACTTTGGAGGCCAGCACTTTTAAGTCAATGTTTTGCATTTTTCTCCTGAAAGATTATACTTCTCTACAGTGAACATGACCAATTTCCATTTTTGCAATTGAGTAAAAAATGCCATCAGGATTTCTGCGGGGTGGACTGGCATACAGGCCATAGAACTGGGGGAAGAAAAAAATAAAAATGGACTTGACACTAAGCAGAAAACCATTTCAATACTGTTGCAGCAACAGAAAGCATTGTTGACACCAATTATGTAAAGAACTGAAATTCCTTGATTATCCTCACATCAATACAGAGGAAAAAGATTAAAACAACAGAGCAAGAGTACAGCAGAAAGAAAGGTTCATGGCTAGTCACGGTGTTCAGCAACCACTCTTCTCTATTGCCAAAGACAACAGATTCCTTATTATAAGGGAAACTGTAAGGCTTGTTGTTCATGAACTACTTCATCTGGGAAAAGTGGCTTTAAGATCACTGAAATCTTGTCTTCAATGAAATTATTAGCAAAGCCCCCCTCCTAACTTCAGTGGGGTCAGGATTATTGCCCTATATTATTTTACAAGCTGTCCACACTTGGGCATGCTATCATGCATGTTTCAAAAATGGGCATGACTTTTCTGCATTCTTTTTAATGTACCAAAACTATCCTTACAATCCAGACTAGACAGAATACAAACTGAATTTTCAAGGCTTTCAAAGCCTTTTATTGCTGTAGCAATACCACTCTCCAAGCCAGCTTGTTCTCCGTTTGGCCAAGATCATTCTCTGCATAATGGCAGTGGTGAAACAAAGAACAGTTTGATAGAATCCATGAAATCAACAGTGACTTAAAAGCACACCACCAGCAGGCCAGGTAAAAGTGTGCATTTCCTCACAACACCACGTGCTACAGCTGTCACCCTTCCCAAAAGCGCCATGATACTAGTGGTGTTAATTAAAACTTCTGAATATTATGTGCTTTCCAGCAGGCTCTCTTTGGTATAAAAAGTTCTTAACACCAAGCTAGTAATATTTTACAAGGAATATTTGCTACACACAAGAGGATGAGGGGGAGATAGTTACAATATAATCTAAGGAAAAGTAATTGCACGTGGTTAATCACCTCTGCAACATCAGATAAATTTTCCAATGCATTCCCAGCACAATTAAAGATGCATCGACAGCTAAAAACATAGGTATTGTTTTGAGAGTCTGGGGGAAGCTTCATTCCAAATAAAATACTTAGGACGCAATCCAGTTAAACTGAAGTACTTTTAGGTGCCATTGGTTCAGTCTAGACATTTCTAACCATGGATACAGTGAATTAACTTTGTCATGATGTTTCTATTGACAAACCCTGGTTATAACTGGCCAGAAAACAGAAAATGATTTCAAATGGGTTTGTAAGCTATGGGTTTATACTATGGTTGACGTGGTACTTAAATCAACACTCAAAAAATCATGGGGATCTTCTTAAGCAACTCTACCATGGTGAAGGGAACTTACAAATATATGAAAACCCAGAGGACCAAAAAAATAAAAAACCCTACCAAAAGCAGGCATGTAGTTTGGCAGTAAAAAACTAAACCCATGATCTGATTTTAAACAATGGTTCTCTTTGCATACAATGGTGGCAAATCTTGAGTTAATTAACCTGTTACACTGCCATTGTTACATGCAAACCAGCGTGAATGTGAGTGCAAACCATGGTTTGGCTCTATTCAAATTAGTCATCAGTTAGTGGCAGGAAGTTAGCATCTCCTTAATTTTCTAGTTCAAATCAACGGAACTTTAAAAAGTACTCGGCTTTAGCTGGCTCATGCTCATAGCTTCTTGTCTGCTGGCAACGAAATTTAAAGCAACCTATTTTGCCATTTATTTCTATCCTCAGATCTGCTCAATGAATTGCTTCAGTTTGACGGAGAGCGAAGGGGCTTGCTGGTCCATCATAAGGCAAGCGCACTGTAAACTCTAGTCGCACTACATAATCATTTAAGGCACTACAATATTGGGGGTGGGGGAGACACACCAGTCACACATACCTGTGCAAAACAAATCAGAAGGGATCCTTGTCTCTCATGCGGCTCCATTTTTTTCTCTCTCAGTGCTACAGTGATGAGCGCTAGACGATTGCATTATTTCACATACATTCCAACACGTATCAACTCATTTTGGTTTAAATACAAAGGAATAGATCAATTTCATCCCCAGAAACATTTAAGAGTTAGACAAACACTAAGTACAGAGTTCAAGTATAATCACTACACATTTTGATTACAAAGACAGAACATTTGGGATTAGCAGGAAATTTTGCTTGTTATATTTTGTTCTAATCAATATGTACATATTTCATTTCTGTAAAATATTAAAACACCACCATTACAAAACTTCTAAAATAGTTTTAAATTCAGTAATAAACCTTTAAAATCTGCAATTTGTGTGTCATGTTTTTTGCAATTCCTACATGCACCTACTGTATACAAGTCTTAATAAGAGCGCTTTAAAGTTTTCTGCCAACAATGTCCCAAAGGGATATGCTTGCAGGAGTATAAAAAGTTTGTACATATCAGTAGACTGATGTTTTGGCAAATTCTGGATTCCTCAGCTAAATGGACCAGGCAAGAAAGAACATGATGGAAAAGAGGTCCCTGCATTTCTGGGAAAGGAATCCAGCTCCTAATGGTATTCTAAAAATGAAACTGAAAGGGGCCTCTGATGAAGTCTGTGGAAACAAACAGGTGATGTGTAGCTTCTATTCATTTCACTGAGGCCTCCCCAGTGGCTTCTGCCCTCAAAAGAATAATGCAGGCCTCTGCATTTCCAGTTGAGAACAAGAGCATTCTGGCAAAACAATGAAACCATAATATGGATTGTGATTTTGTATACAATTCATTGCTTCTGCACTTATAAAAAGCAAACACCCTCTCAATTTCATTTTGGAAATTCACACATTACAAGAAAAATAACCATAGTTTCAATGGGAACTATGAACAAAATAAATTGCTACAATAGCTTTTAACAGAAAGAATTTAAACCAAGAATTTAGGGGTATATCTGTATCTACAGATACATAGATATACACACCCTGACCCAGAGCGAAAGGTGGAAGAGAGAAATGCATCTGCAGAATTTAGCTATTGCCTATCAAGAATGTGAATTACAAAATTAACTTTAAAATACTAACTCAAGTTTATAAATCTGCCCTAGCAACCTAGAGTTAAATGTGCATTTTTAGTGGCAATATGGATTTGTGCAAGCTGCTAAAATAATTTAAACAAGTACTAGGTAAGTTTAAGAGTTTTTTTCTTTTTTAAAAAACAGCCTTTTCAAAAAGTCATTGATTTCCTTTCCTCCTCTGATAGCATTAAATAAAATTGGGTACAGGCCTTTGTTGTTTTTAAAGCATCCATAAAAATTAACTGTAAAATCTTAAATGTAAATGTGATCTAAAAGGTTCAGCCCAGTCATTACCTGAGCTTCCCCCACACAGCAGGCCCCCTCCAACAGTACAACCAGACTCTGAAGAGCATAAAGAGAATTGTCAACAAGAGGAAGGTCCCCCCCCCCCCATTATCCTCCACTGTTTCCACAGAGGATCCTGTTGTGGAGCTGTTAAGAGTATTGAAAACCTACTGGAGATCTCTTGCTTCTATCATCAAGCTGGGAATGATTACCAACAACCCCTGCTCCAAGAACTACAAGTAAGAGTACTGATTAATCTTGGTTGGGCTCAGTGGGTATCCAGTGTAAATAGCAGATCCTCTAGAAGCACCAATGTAAGACTGAGTGGCAAACTGATGCTGATACTGAGTAGGTGCTACGTTGGCAGAGGTTAGCAAGCTGGGCCCCACACTGACAGGGACCTGATGCACCAGAGTGCTTGGATGGGTTGTGTATGTGGTGTGCCTGGAGGAGCCCTGAGGGGAAAAGAGATGAGCAATAGAGTTGGTGGAGCCCAGCGTGGCAGCAGTCGTCGGTGCGTAGGTATACATGTGAGGCTGGCTAGCTGTTGCTGCTGCCAAGTGGGGGTGCACTGGGCTGCTATGCTGGAACGTGTAGGGAGCCTGAGCAATTGTGGTTGGCAGGGGAGCAACGTAGGCCTGCTGTCTGCGTGGAGCTGGGTTTCCGCTTCTCTCCTGTGAAGCCAGTACAGTTGCTTGCTGGTTCTGAAAAGCAAAGAAAACGTACATTGATAAAGGCATCATGCTAACAATTTGTTGTTAGGAACCACAGATCTTGATCCAATATAACCAACAGCACATGCTGCAAGGGACCTAACTTTGCTCCAAAACTCAGAGACTTGAAGTACAAATACAGGCAACTTGCCTCAGTGCTTTTGCCCCTCAAAATTCGTGCCCAGGATAATTTCCCCTTCTTCCACATCAATCAGAGCAGTTGTCTCTGCCCATTGCTATCCCCTCAGTGCTACAGTGGGATCCAGCAGACAGAACAGCCCTGCTTACCTGGCTAAGATTGAGTGGCTGCACACCATTTGTCACAACCCGGTGTTGTCGGTAAGCTGTTGGTGTGATACAGCACCCTGATGCTTGCCCACTTACGGATGCCACAGGCTTCGTCTTGCTCAGGCTACTCAGGACACCTGCAATGACAACCACAGAGCTTACTCCTCAAGATAAACCTACTTTTCAAAGCATAGAAAACTAGGTGATGAGGGACGATAGTGGCCCCATACCTCTTCAGCAAGCTTCCACTGATTTCATCAGCTTCATTCTTTGCAGGTCTTTAGAAAAGTTATCCAAGACCCACCTATTTTCACTGCCCTTTTTAAATTGCTGGGCTTTTTTATTTATAAATACTTTTCACTGAATTCTGTTATTTTGTATTGATGGTTCTTATCTTGTATACTGCCTTTGGACCACCTTTAATGATGGCATGAACATTTAGATAGGGAGAGAGTGCCAGAGGATACAAGATATGGGCTTGTGAATAGTTAATGCTTAATGAATGTATTTTCTTCTTTCTTGCAGCAATCCCTTCTGCAGCTAGCAGGGGAATGAAAGTAGGGCTACATTGTCTAGTTTCTGCAGCTGTTAACATGGAGGTAGCTGTAAACCACTTGCTATGTTCATCTTAATCAAGAATAGCCAGTAACAGATGTTGCTGCTCATTTGCTTTCCTTCATCTTGACATCTATGGGAACAGGAAAACCAGTGGGGAAAGCTGAAACAATATTTAACTTCTACTGAGGCAATGTTTCCCTCTGTGTAAGTTCTAAATGTCTAGAGATTTCAAAACTATAATAGGTTCTGATGATTCTACTAAATGAATTTAGATAGCTTCAAGAAAATGATTATTATAGCTGTCTGTACACCAATATACCCTGATGATGGGAATGATTGACAGCAAAAGAAGGTGGGGACTGCAGAGGGTGAGGTGGCTAGATGGGAGTCACTGGAGCAGTGGGTGTGAGCTTGGGTGGACTCTGAGGGATGGAAGAGGACAGGATAGCCTGGAGAAATGTTGTCCATGGGGTTGTGATGTGTCAGGCACAATATACCTATATAAGGCTCTCAAATGATGCCATTATATTATTGACATGTTTCCATGACAGAGTTATCACCAACTTTGTTAATGGCTGGGGAAAATAATGCTATGCTGGAAAATAATGGATAGGGAGACTTGCATATACTTTTGCCCTTCCTAGTAATCTTTGCTTGCTTTAAATATTTAAATATATTGTAAGATGAACTGACCTAAATAAGTAAATAAATATAAATAAGCTCAGGGAGGGAGGGAACACAGGGGTCAAAGCACACCAGGTGTGTTTTATTATTTTGAATGATGTGGAACATTTATTTGTGGTCTTTGTACTTTTTCTCTCTCTTACATTATGCAGATACCCATCATTTAGCAAAGTACTGACACTAACTAAACAAATTAGAAACTAACAGCTGTCTGTGCTTCCTATTTCTACATTTGGGATGGTTATGAAACAGCAGGAGATAATAGTTACAAAAACTATGGAGACAAATGTTCACAAGGAGAGACACACACTTTAGAGCAAAACCAGACTTATTTTGTTAAAAAATCTACAGGAGGGTAGTCCTGTAGGCAAATCAACCTTACCCGAGGCCTGGGTGGCAACAATACAGTCACTGAGCTGTGTTTTCAGAGGCACAATAATGGTGCGGGAGCTGGAGCTTTCAGCTGCCCCTCTGCTTGGCTCGAGTGCACCCCCAGAGCTCCTGAGCGTGGAAAGCGCATCTGATGCATAAGGGCTATTCAATGAGGAGTCTGAATCAGGGGAGTCATTAACAGTAACATAGCTGATGACATTGGATCTCTGCTTCATGCCCAAGCTATAAGGAAAAAAAAAACATTTCATTTCAACAGTATTTAATCAAATGATGCCCATAAATTTCAGAGGTACAAGTAAGTCAGATCATGCAAAATAGAGAGAAATGTAGTTTTACTCAAGGTGCATTCAGTTTTGAGGACTACATTTATGATCTGTATCTAAGCCTATGTCCAAGAGCTCAGGTGATACACACAGGCCTTATGGTTAGTTTTGGCTGAGTGCATTAGGCTGGCCAAAAGGGAATTTCCTGGCTGAGGTGAGACACAAACCTATCTTCCAAGCTCAGCAATCCATTTGCTGCACCACATGGATAAGTCTGCATGGCAAGACAACTATCATGGGTATTAGGGCATGATGGGTTGTTGTATCATATGAAACTGGATTCCCACAGAGTGGCCTGTTTGAGGACAACAAGCCATACCGACAATCCATGCACTGTTGCAGGGGTTGTACCTATGAAAGGTTACTGTATCATTTGAATCCAAGTGGCTGACCCATTTTGTAAGGCTGGCAAAATCCTCTTTCTGCTTTTGCCAAGTTCACCCTGGCCACTGCTAGCATTAGCCACCCAAAGTGCTCACGGCCACTACTAGGGCCACCCACGTGGCTCAGTGGCTTTCAGGTTCTCCATTTTTACAGTCACTGATATTTCCCCCAAAGAGCCAGCTCAGTAAAGGGGGCGGGGGAGCCATGGTGATCCAAAAGAAACAAAGAAAAAACCACAGAAAGCCAAAAACAGGTTATAATCACAGTGGACAGGGGTAAACAACCTGGGATACCTGTAGGAAGATAAAGGGGAAAGAGAGGATAACAATTCACTGTGGCTTACTGTTATATCACGCAAACTCACCACTCCAAATTTTCTGAGTTATAGCCCTTAACTCTCCCTTGGTTGGGAAAACCATGGCATTCAACTCAACAGGGACACAATCTATTAATATTAGGCCTAAATCCATGCATCTGTATTTAGGTAACTGCACTTTCAGAACTGCTAAAGGCTACCTCCTCCAACTTAACAGATCAACACAATTTCATATTTAATTCTGTGCTTCACTCAACTTGAAGCTATTATGGCCAAAAAGAACTATAATGAAATTTGTTTTTCATATAAAATGACAGGACATATAAGGTCTGAAGGCACAAATTTGCATTGCTTTAAGCACAATTTAAATGTTAAAACCTGTTTTGACTATCTTCTGGCATGCACCAGCTCAAGTTACAGTGGGATTAACAACTTTTTATATAGGTTCTGGATTTTTGTTGACTCTTGCAACATAGATAACATACCTACACAGCATTAGCAATGTGTGAAGAATCCGTTTTAGGAGTTAGAATCTGTCAGATTCCCTGGGCTCAGTTCCCCAGACCTCAGTTCACTTTGACACAGCTGTGAGTCTAAGTTCATGGTGAGTGCACCCAGCATTTATGTGGAGCTTGCCAGGAAATCAAGCCTTTCATAAATGCTATGTAAACTGTGCTTCTGTTCTGCAGCACATGCAGCAGCCTTTGTTTATGCTGCTGCAAATGTGCAGGAAGATTGCCAATGCTGCGATCTTTGTTCCATGAGCATTTGTGGACTTCCTTTCTGCTTGGCTCACTTTCCAAAACAGGGCCAAGCATGTGAGGAAATCTACAAACACTAAAGGGATGCATTCATACATAGCATAAATTTCAGATATGGCAGAGAGGAGCTGAGGTCTGGCCCATGTCTAGCATTTCTAGCAGAAAGCACAGAACTTTTAACTAATTTAGTATGAAAGGAATGCATAATGCTTCAAAATCATAAAAAAATCATCATGCTCCATAACTTAGCACAACATACTTAGTACTCCTTATGAACACAGGAAACTCCCTTATACCAAGTCGGAGCATAGGTTTATCCAGCTAAATACCATCAGCATTGGCTAGGGGTTTCAAGCAGGGGTCTTTCAAGCTGAACCTGGAGATGCCAGGGACTGGACCAGGGATCATCTCCTTGTCAAGGGTACACACTCCATCACTAAGCTATGGGCTCCAAGTCTTCTGATTTTGACACTTCCCTTCTCATTAGAATTCTATAAAGAACTGTATTAGCAAAGCTCTCCTAAAAAGGAACACAGCAATTTACCTTCCAGGCTTGTATTTGCTGTCTTCCTCTTCATCAGTGTCACTGCGGATGGTGATTACACTGACTGGGGGGCTGGGAGTGTCTGGAATAACAATAGGTTGATGCTGCTCTTGCCCTGGAAGGAGAGCACTGGAGGAGGAAGATGTGGCATGCAGAGGGCTGCTCCCAATTAGAGAGTAGACTTGAGAAGGAATGGCCTCCAATGTAGATGCAGGCCTACAAGTAGACAAAATGACCATTATTATGAAGAATACCACTTACTGAAAGGATGGCAAAGCTTACATTTTGAGGCGATTTGAACTCGCTTGTCTCCTTTGAACTCGCTCAAAGGCGATTTGAATGATTTGAAGGCGATTTGAACTCGCTCAAAGGATTACAAATCAGTACAAAGTACAAAAAATATAAATTGTTTGTTTTAAAAAGATTTTTCATATTCTCCATGCCACAGTAATTAGGCAGATATATTATCGATTACTACTGAAGCACCATCTGTAACCAAAATAAGGCTACCATGTGAGACATTCTCAGTTCCACAATACTGCCCAGAATTATCTTATCAGGCAACTCCTAAAATGTTTAAGTGTATCCAAATGGACTATCAAAAGTGCTATCTATTTCTATCTAGAAATATCTGTCAGTCAGACATCCTTACTTTGTGGCATTATGGGGTGGCTGTTTGTTTTTCTTTGCTGGCACTGCATTGTTCTGCTGCTGCCTCACAACATGTGCGACTCCAACATTCAAAGGCTGGGTTGTAGCTAGTGTCACATGGTTGGTTAGCAATGATGGCTGCTGCATGATCGTGCTGTACTGATTTCCATGTGAATGAGCATTTCTAAAGGAAAGAAGAAAGACAGTGCTGAAATGCCAACTGCTCTTTGGTAGGAAAAAGACAGCAGTCCCAAATGGTGGTATCCAACTTGATGTTCCTCCACTGATGGACAAAATTCAATACTGAGTTGAGAAAGTGATTTACAATTATTCCTATTTCTCTGTACCCGCAATGCCCCTCCCAAGCTGTTGGGTAGCCACCCATACCCAAAAAAACTGTGGGAGGTGGCACAAATTACTGCAGAAGACAGCTGCACTTACTTCAAATCTCCTCTCCCCATTCCACTAGCAGAGGGACACCAACCAAAGTCTCTTTCCTAATATTTGTCTTTAGTGATCAACTTCACATGCTTCCCAAAAGCATATAATTTAGAGCATTTTTATTCCTAGTACATGCTTAAAATATAACATGTAAAATACACTGACAAGCCACGAAAAAGAGCCACTGAAACACTGGTTTTCAAAAGACAAGTGGATTTGACTAACACTAGAAACTCTTACCAACTAGAGATGTCTAAAGAAGTCACAATAAAACCTTCATTTCTAGCCAATCTGACACAATGCACTGAATCATTAAGTTCTTTGTGTGAAAAGGTTTAGACATTTTAATTAGTTGTTAATCACTACTTTTTAAGTATAGGTAGTGGTATCAGGTAGAAACATTCCACCTGATATCACTGTTTTACGGAAGCAAAAAAAGATGCAGTTCTGGAATGTAATGTGTCTGAATCAATCACTTCATATTTTATATTTAAGAGACACAGAAAGCTGATTTTGTTTTGGTTCACTCATCTCTGACACATCCAGAATTTCACGCCTGAAAACTAATAGTCTGAAAAGACTGCACCCTTCCCATTGTACAATAGGTTAGTACATATTGTATGTACTAACTGGTTTTCTGCTTTGTCAATGACTCACCTCCAGTCAGCTAACTGCTGGTTACTACCAATTGTTTCTGGAATCACAGCTGTAGGCTGCACAGAATTGTGCAGTGCAACCCCTGGAAGTTGTTGCCAGGTAGAAGGCAACAGAATCTGCTGGGTCCCTCCAGGCCAGGCCTGCTGCAAAACAGCAAACAGAAACACAAAAGGTTTAATAAGATTATCTTTTTAAGCACTGTGGATGAATTTGTTCAAAGTAAAAGAAATTAGCAGACTGTTAACTTGCAGAGATAAAGGCATGTCACTGCACCTTTGCAAATAGTTTTATGATGAGAAGCAAGCAAAGAATGCAGAGAAAGAAAGCATTCCCTATCACTCTGCTTGCCATTTGTATCACAGGGGCTTCCTGTGAAGGAGTTTGATGTTCACATTTTGTACTGCAGAAAATGTATCCACACACACCTTTCCAAAGCATTTAAACAGTATGTTGGATGCTTACAACAAGAGGTCATAATTCTTGGAATGGATTTGAAAGAACTGGTTAATAATCTGCAGAATAGGCTGTCCTAGGGAATTTCAGGACACTAGGAGTATCTTTTTATAAGTTTAACCTTCTTCTAGTGCTAGTGTTTAACACTTGAGAGGAAATGGATGCTTGCACAGAAACATAAGCACTTTTCAAGAGATTTTGACCCCCCACCCCATCCATGCCCACCTACCAATTTATACTGATCAATGGATCTTTGCACGCAGTAGACTGAATGCACTTGCCACATCTACAAATGAGCATGCTGAGATCCTTGTATAACAGATTATGCGGGGGTTGAAGGGAAACAGACGGTAATATGAGGATCTCATTCAAAATGTTTGGGAAATGATTGATTTATATAATCAGGCACTATAGAAATAAGATGATGTAACTATTCCAAAAGAGGACAGCAATTTAAGCCAGTCTTATTTTAATTTCTCTATCAGGACAATGAAGAAGAACTTGGAGACTTTCTTCCCTCCCTCCGTAAAGAATATCTTCTGTAGGAAACTGGTATTTTTATTATGTAAAATTTGGCATGACTAAGCTGCTTGAATATAGTGAGCTTAGGCACATCTAATTCTGTGCATGATCAAGGTATTAGATTTGCAAGGAAACAAATGCAATAATTTCTCGATCTTAAATATCTTCATCATTCAAGCATAAAGACTCTATGAATATTTAATAATGATATTTAACTACACAAATAACTATTTCTCACTGATCAGGAGTCATATATTTTAACTGGGCATTGTAACCTACAGTTGTTATGAGTAGCTACTAAGGCTAAATTAACTGAGGCTAAATTAAACATACTTCCCGTTCTTTGGGCCCAAGATAAGTATATCCTGTTTATAGTAACTGCCAGGTAAGAAGTTCGTGGCTTGTTTTTACAAGGGTTGAAGTGTGGACAGAAAATGCATTTTCTAGCGTAACTCTCCCCTCCTACTCATGATGCAAAAGTTGAAACCAGGAGAAAACACAGCCTACCACCATTTTTTCCCTCAAAAAGGTACTTTTTGCTTCATTATATGCTGGCATCTTCTTTAAAATGTATTACTGTTTTGATGGATTATACTATATCCTGCTAGTTACTAATATTACTATGAAGATAGTCACTGGTAACTGTATTTGTGGATCTTGCCACTTGTAAAACATGCCTTTAGTATTTGTAATGTGCCTGTCCCACTTAGATTCAAACCCACCCAGGAACAGTAGTTTTCCCTTCACAAAAAGTATCTATTTTACAGAATACAAGTTCTGCAGAAGACTATTTCAGCGTGCAATACGCTTATTCATATTCCATACAGGCCAAATTGCAAAACTATAGACATTTGTTATTTAAAATAACATATTTCTGCAAGTAACATGGTCTACTTATTACAAACACTGGTTCCACATAAGAAGCCTTCAAGCAGAGAACTGCTAACCCCTCTGCCAACACAAGCGGAATAATTATTTTTTTAAAAAAGAGAATTATGTTAAAAGTCACACCATGCCTCTTTCCAAAAGCCAACACCTGCACAAGACAAAGCAGAGAGTTTAATACAGTGCGAGATCTAATGTCCCACCAGGAGGCAGAAATCGGGCCTTCCAAGCGACGAACTGTTTTGACAGAGGAGGGACAAAAATATGCAAAGCTTAGCAAATGGCTAATGCAAACTTAGATGAAGCGGCAAAAGGGAGAAGTGTTGAAAGCACTAAAGGTGAGCACTTCAGGCAAAAGGCTATTAGAAGCCAAAATTCACAGAGAGAAAAGTAGGATCCAAGTAGGCAAATGGATTTAGGCAGGGGGATGTGTATTCTGCCATCGCACCACAAAAGCACAGAAATTAGTAGAGGGTGCAAAATTCAACATTCCAAGAATCTCAGCTTTGGGGTTTTTTTTAAGTTTCTAATCCTTAAGACTGCAAAGACGTTTGAAAGCACGCAGGCAATGCCTGAGGAAATACAGGAAGAGAGAGAGGGCCCAAGCAGAAAAGAAGTTCAAGCAGTCAGTGCCTTGCAGAGCTCTTCTTCTCTTTCCATAAGCAGAAAGGACTATCCTCGTGTGTATGTGGCATGTGCATGTGTGTGCATGCACGTACAATGTGCTTAATTTGCATAAATTACATATGCCTCAGAATTCAACTTTCTTTGGCAATGAATTTAGATTAAGTGTAGAGTATATGTAGCCCTGGATTCAGTCTCATAGCAGAAAGTCCAAAGAGCGACTGATCAGATTAGCCTGCCATCTAAGAAATCACAAATAATCTTCTGATAATAACTAAACATAGAAAATTTGGTTCTGCTACACATATTCCATGTTTCAGCAAATGAAATACAACTTGAAATCTTCAGAGGTCTTTTCAACACATGAAACTACAACCTTTACCTATCCTGCCTGCTGTGTTGCACTTTCTGGTAGCAATGCTATAAAGGAGCAGTTACTCATCTTGGACTTTTTTGTCTACAGCCAACAATGCCCCATTTCTCTCCATTGGAAGAGAAAGATGCTCATGAATCATCAGTTTGAAGCCACATAAGACAATGATGTATGTAACAAATGGATGTGTGCTTTGCAAGACACGTGAGGACACCACAGTTTCAAGCACACTGCAATGTTTCCATAAGCTTCACTGATCTGATTCTGGGGTTTCTAATTGACTGTTTTGTGGCATGAATCCAATACCAGACAAATTCGGAATAAGGAAAGGAAAATTTGAAAATGTACTCTGCTGCTTCCTTTGATATCTTTAGAGATTTAAGACAAACTGTCCTGAGAAACAGTTTAGAAGGTAAGAGCTCACCTTTAATCTCAACCAAGAAATGCAAACGGAACTAAAAGCACTGGTGGGAAGCAACATCTCTAATAAGATGATGCACACTGCCAATGATTGGTCAAAGGTAATGCAAGGCCAGGGAGAACTGGAGTCATCATTATTCAATGGAGGTTAAGAAATCTGGATTAAAGCCATAAATTAATAAAGCATTTGCTAGTATTAAAGGCTTTCAGTGCCTGAAACATTTCTACATGCGAAGAAGCTAAAAAAATAAAAATAAAAAGAGCTAAACCTGTCAAATTATGGCTACCCAGGAACTGCAGCAGTGTCAGCCTAAAAGCCATCCCCTTTGTTTTCAATCAATAAAACATTAAAAAGATATGAGAGTAAAGAAAAGAAGAAATATAATTACCACTCTTCTCAGACTAGGAGAAGAGCTTGATCAGCATACTAGGCTAGTAAAGAACAACAGTCAATGGATCTGGATTCTTTACAGAGCAACACTAAACATCAGAGTCAGACAGTGCTTCAGCAATGTTGGGGAGGAAAAACAACAAGACATTAAGATGTAGCAAGAACACAGCCACAAGATGGCACATGCTTCCATGCCCTCTGCAAGTCTAAGTTAAAACAAAAACTCCGTTAGTGAACACAATCAAGGGAGGCAATTACCAGTACTGCAGCCGTCTGTTCTACTAGCGCTGGCCGGCCGGCTGCGCAGTTCAGAGTAAAGGGCACCGCATACTGCGGCGTGATGGTGGCTACTTGAGGATGAAGAGTTGCTACCATTAGTGGTGTACAGCTTCCCTGAAATGTAGATTAGGCAGTGAGTGAAACAAATGTACTGAGGCAACAGGGCCAGAAAGGCTTTCTTCCCAAGGATAATAGTGGTGCTTTTGAGTGGCTTGCAGAATTCATAGGTATGCACTGAAAAAATCAATATGCTCTTCTACTAACTTAATTCAGTATTTCTTGTATGCAGTGAGATTAAGTACACCTATAAGTCAACAAACAAACGTTGTGTGTTTGTACACTCAAAATACTCTTAATCATAAGTGGTTTCTAAACTAGTGCAGGGAAGGCATGAAAACAGAAACACTCCCTAAAATGGCTTATCAGAAATATCAGGTTGTTAAACCAGCATTTTGGGATTCTGACACTTCAAAAAGAACTAACTGACTTCCCACTGACTTACTTAAAAAAAAAAAATTAAAAGGCGGAGCAATTCAGTGGTCACTGTAATGGTATTAATGTATCCACAATTTTAAAAATCTTAGATCACTAGGCTTGCTAGAAAATAACAGCCTTGTATTTGTTGCAGGTATGTAAAATATAGTATGAGATTTGTGTAGTGCAAGTTCAAGTGCTTCCAAATGCCTTCCACAATACAATTTTAAAAATGGACGATTTGCAGTGCTTTAATTTAGTCATGCTTCACCTGAACAGTGTTTGCAATGATGTAACCCAAGCCCCATTGCAAAGACTATGAAACTGTGTTAGCAAGTAATTTAGGATTTCAGGATCTTCTGTTCTGGAACAAATCTTCCAATTATACAAAACAAAAATTTAGCAAGATACAAATATTTCTGGAATCAGAAACCCTTTTGGTCTTCATCTCATAATACAAAATAAATTTATAGTATTGAAATAGTAAAGAGAAACTTAATTATTTTAATAAACTTTAATTTTCAAGTCAACCTCACAGATGTACCCAAAGGAGATGTAACAGGTATTCTTGTTGTAAATGGGGGCAGGGAGAGAGGGAAGAGGAAAAGGATTTTGCTTAACCTCAACATGTCAATATACATTTTTTTACTGTTTGCTGGCACCTCCCACCTGCCAATATACAACCATTTACTGTTTGCTGGTACCTCTTTACATGCAGACAAATGCCTTACATTCATACAGGCCATCAGTTGCTAATATATTTGGCTACAGGCACAAAAGATCTGTACCTCTAAATGAAAATGGCCTAATATTTTGGTCTTGGGCAGTATTTGGTTCATATATAGGGGCCAAACCTTTAAAGCAGAAAATTGATTAGATAAAGAAACACACTAATTGTTACATTTTGTTATTTTTTCCTTCAATACTGGTAGGTAGAACTCTGCCAATAACTTTAGAAAAATCAGGAATTTCTGGTTCCCAGTTTCAATCCAGAACTCACTATTACCTAAAGATATCTATGACACTTTATGCCCTCGTTTTTACCTGTGTGAGAACTCCTGATTGGATCTGTAATGGCTGAGCTGCTGGTGCCTGTGGCACAATTGGAACAGCATTGTCCATCCTCACTGGGAACCCAGAATGCTTTGTGGTTGCCTGAAGACCAGCTGTAAGGAAAAAAGGAAATTTTACCTAAACATGCTTCTCTAATTAATCAAGTTTTTTTTTCAAGGCCCACTTACCAGCAAAGGAAACAAAAAGAAGCTATAATATAGCTGTGTTACTCCACGTAACAGAATAATTAGAATAATAATTTCACAGATAAAGCTTTTGAAGAAGTCAACTTTGGACTCAACTTTCATCTTTTATTTCTTGCTTTCTGAAGACCATGGAGATTAAATTTACTTGATTACATTTATGTTGTAAAAGTGTTGTTAATATGTTATTAGGCTCATCAACCACCTACTTCATAAGGCTGCAATCCTATACTGACTAAACTGGGAGTAAGCTTTAGGAACCCCTCATCATTAAACCTGAAGAGGTGTATTTCTGAATAGCCAAGTAGATGACTGCACTGTAAGAGTAGCAGTATACCAACAATAAAAGATTATTTTCACAACCCACAAAGGGAACAATGGTTCATGTTATGCTTGACTGTGAAAAAATGCATGATACTGAATTGCTGAAATTCAGCTCTACAGGAGACAAGTCATGTTTATCCCTGGAACTCTCAAATCATCTTCCCAAATGTCCAAACATGTCTAATATGAGTATACCTGAGTTCAGCTGCTCAACCTCACATTCAAAAGTGATATTGTCTCATCCTAATTTCACTTTGATGTTTATATATCTGCTCTATTTCCAAATCTACATTTTTCAGATGTTAATGTATATATAGTGTACCATACTGATTCTACAATTTTTTACATCATGCAAATACATCACAGTGGCACCAAAGTTGTAAAAACTACAGTATCTTTCTGTGCAAATAGTATGCAAAGATCCCAATACACTTAGCACACCTACTTTGAAAGGCAGGAGGACACACAATGAAGGTTTGCTGAAATGGGTCTGTTTGTGTACAGATCTGTGTTGTTCCAGGCTGTAAGGAAACACTCTGCTGTGCCACACCAGCAACTGGTGCTGCAGATGATGGGTACAGAGCAGACTGATAATTCAGCAGTGAAACATCTGAATTTGCCAGTGACAGGGTAGCAGCAGCTGTAGAATTGGAAGCCAGAACACTAGCCTGGAAAATACAACAGTATCTACTGTTAGAACACTTTATTTATACTGCTCTCAAGCATTTGAAACTCAACAAAACCAGTATACAATCAACAGCAGAAAAGCTTCAGGCTTGCCACTTTAACCAGATGTTGAATATCCCTTACATATCTTACACATCACTATGTCCTCAAATGCTGATTAGTTACTTAGAATTAAACAGCCAATTGTCTACACATAGAGATGATGGAAAATCATATAGGCAAGCTGCTCTACAAGGCCCCAGAATATGATGGGCTTCAAAGTCCTTCAAAACCTTGAAGAGATCTGAACTTACAGGCTGTTACAGTACAGCTGGGGCTGTCTATTAATAGTGCATTGATTTCAGATTACATTGCTGCTACTGAAAACAAAGTGTAGCTTACTAAGGAGAATCACTCCAGGGAACGGCAAAAATAGTTTTTGTTGGGTTTCTGTTCTTCAAAGAATTTATTGATTACCTGATGGTGCACTGTATTGAGCTGGTTGTTGAAACTCATGGTGAGGTTTGTGCTTGTATTTGGTGCGACATGTGTTGTGAATGGGCTCTTTATTTGATTAACTGTGTCATACATGTTAACTCTTCGCTTGCAAATCTCCATGTTCTGAAAGCAGGATTTCACACTGAAATAAAGTAAAAGACAACTTAGTCATAAACATTAATCATTTTGGTGAGTTATCAAAAAGACATATTTGTGGGCCTGTGAATCATCAGCTATCAAATGTTTTAGGTTGCACACTGTGAATGCCACCATCACAATCCCAAGATTCAAGCAACATTGAGTACTAGCTAATCCTAGATATATTTACTTAGCCTCATGCTTCTAGTAAGTTCTATTTTTTTAACTTGTTGCAGGCATCCACTACCACCTCTGGTTCCATCCTCTCCTTACTACATAGAAATTATATCTTCAAGAAATCGAAGAAAGTGATACAAGTTTGAGATAGAAAGAAGAGTAAACAGACATCATGGCAATTTGTGACACCTCTAGGAGTATTTTACTAAAACCACTGTTGGGAAATTCCTTTGATTTAATTAATTCTGTTCTGAGTTATTTTGCTTAAATGTGAATTCACAGTAGGATTTCATATATACTTTAAATGTATTAGTCCTAACAAATTTGAACAATGAATTGACAGTGTGCTACAAACTCACTGGTTGCTGTGTGGGAAATCAAGTAAATGGTTCATTGTCACAAATGGATGGTTCAGAGTCTTCAGCGGAGTAATTCTCTTATCTGCATCAATTGTCAACATTTTCTTCAACAAATCAATATATTCTCTACGGTCAGCCTTCTCTGCCAACATGTCTGTTCCCTCTAAGTCTGTAGACATATTTACCTGGAAAGAAAAAAGAAGTCAGAACTTGGTATTTTACTGTAAAACAACCCCTATTAATTTTATAGCAGGAAAAAATACCGGAACATGGAAATAGTTTCTTTTTAAGCTTTTCAGCCATGCAGATTTAATTCATCTTTAGCTTCAGTATCTCATCCTATCCCTACTTTTTTCCTAGTATAAAGATATTGTTATCCAAGTTCCGTGGCCATACTATTTAAGGAGCACATTCAAGAGAAGCCTGCTGAATTTAGGATGCAGTCCTCAAGCATGTTTACTCAGAAGTGAAACCTATCAAATGCAAGGGAGATTATTGCCAGGACTACAGCCTTAATTCTCCAAAAGGACAGAGTGGAGGGCACCACTTATCTAACTCCTGTAAACAGAGATTATGTCTGGCTGGGTCCAAGAGGTTTTCAACTTATACTTGAGAGAGAAAATGGTGCCAGTCACTTTAAAGGAGGTAGGCCACTCGTGAAAAAGCCTAATACGAACCTGGAAAATGTTAACAGCCATAAGAGGGTGGATAATATTCCTTTCCTGTGCAAGGTGCTTGAGTGGATGGTTGCCAGGCAACTCCAGGCACTCTCGGATGAAACTGATTATGTAGACCCAGTTCTGTCAGGCTTCACGCCTGGTTTTGGAACAGAAACTGCGTTGGTTACTCTGTGAGAGGATCTTTGTAAGGAGCAGAACAGCATGAGTGCAATCCTCCTGATCCTCTTGGACTTCTCAGAGGTTTCTGATACTATCAAAAACTGTATCCTTCTTGATAGGCTATTGAGGTAGGAGTAAGAGATACTGTCTCTGTTTATACCTCATTGGCCAGTTGCAAAAGGTGGTGCTAGTGGAGTATTCCTCTGCCCCTTGGCAGGTATGTCATGGGGTACCACAGGACTCTTTTATCCCTTTGTTGTTAATATTCACATGGAACCCAGGGGAGAGGTTTTCCAGTGACAGACTGAAGTGGCACCAGTAAGCAGATAACAACCTGCTCAGTCTCTCATTTTGATCAAATGCAGGTGAGGCAGCAGGCATTCTGAACCAGTGCCTGTATGTGGTAATGTAATGGGTGAGGCCCAGTAAAGCAGAGACTGTCAATCTAGACAAAAGGAAGGTACTCTTGGTAGTCATCTGATGGATTGCACTCACCCTTAACAAGTGAGGTTTGTAGTTTGGGGCAACAAGCACAGGTGGACACAGCATGGAGCATCTTTTATCAGCTGATATACCATCTACATTTTTATCTGGACAGAAATAGCCTAGCTACGATATTCCATGCTCCAATATAGTCTCATCTGGATTATCACAAAGTGTTATACATGGTGATGTTCATGAAAATGGTCAGAAAACTTCTTCTGGTCCAAATAGGGCAGCAAGATTGTTAAATGAGAACTGCCAATGCGACTGTATTATGCCAGTACTTTCCCATCTGCACTGGTGACTACTCCATTTCTGGCCTAATTTAAAGTGCTAGTAAAGCCCAAAACAGCTTCACACAAGTTACCTAAAAGTTTATCACCCTCTCACATACACCTGCCTGGACCGCAAGTGGTCCTTCTCCAGAAACTCCCACCAGAGTAACTGAGGTGGCTGGCTACTAAGAAGAGGGCCTTTTCTGTTGTGCAAAGGCTGCATAACAAGCGTCCCGAGAGGCTTGTCTAGTGTCCACACTGGTAAAGCTCTTTGCATTTTCAAAGGCATTTTAGTTTTCCATTTCTTCTTTAAACCTGACACTTTATTCCAAATATGTACACTGCTGCTAGGTTCTATTCAGTTTTTATTTTATACTGTTGTTTCAAACAGTTATATTATTAATCATGTTATCATTTATGGTTTTAATTGTTGCCTATTTCCCAAAGAGTTTGGCTATTGAGCTATACAGAAACGTATTAAACTAAGAAATCAAAATAAACAATAGGAAAAAGACTTCTGCTCTGGATTATTATGCTTGTTCTTTACCATGCCAAGAGAATTCACCTGTGCCATGTCATCCAAACAGTTGAAAATGTATTTCCGAGCCTCCTTTGATTTTATCCCTGTCTCCAACTCATGTTCTTCTGGAGTCTATCAGATAAAATATAGGTTACAAGCAACTGTAACAAGATTTTAATACTTCTTGCAATAAAAGTAAAGCTAAGTCAACAAGCAATCAGCCACTGACAAATATAATGCCCTGTGAATCAGAAATGATATGCCATCATAACCTTGCTACTTAATCTTGTGAAAATGAGTCAGTACTAAATTAATGTTCTCATCTACATTCTCAAAGAGAAATACTAACTAACTTGAGAAAAGTATCAGGTATTTCACAAAGCAGTCATAATACAACCATCAGGCAGATTCTAAAAAGTTCTGAAGAGCATTTTAAGTCACTAGAATGGCTTTATGGAAGGAATAACTAGCAAAAACAAAAGGAATTTTCTGATGTGTGTGTGAGTGGGCAGGAGAGCATGAAAAAAAATGCAGCCAACTATATTCCTCAAAATTAATTTTGATGGCTTTAAATTTTCTACGTTAACTGTTTTTCTTCTTCATTTTGTAGGTGCCACAAATGAAATTTTCTCAGCTTTCTACTGACTTATATGCTGTAAGTTCCTAAATTATTCCCTAATGGGATCTTGTTTCAATCCCACCCCGCTCAACAAATGCTAATAAGACAGAGAGCTTCGGCTAAGGATGATATAGAAATGTAATAAAAATGACATTTTATTATTACTGACTACCAATTAAATACTCCTTGAATCCTTTCAGGACCAATAGTTGATAGAGCTGGTTATTATTATTTATAATTATTATATTACATTTCTATACCACCCATAGCCAAAGCTCTCTGTGTGGTTCACAAAATTTAAGTCACCCATCCAGATTTCAATTTCACCTGAACCTGCTTAGCTTCCAAGGCAGGATCAGGCACTTCACTGGATATACCAGAGAGCTACCAGATCTGTCAGACAAAAACAAAACAGTACAATAGAGGAGAGGAATGAAGTCTATTTATCCTCTTTCTCATATCCTGCCTGTAAGCACTTCCTGTTGTATATGTATAGAGACTGAGCCTGCAGGTTCTCTGGGGACAGATAACAGACATGGCTTGGTTTGCATGATCAGGAGTGCTTAAACAATGGCATGCCAGATGCCATTTGCCTAATTATTTGCCCAAGCACAGTTTGTATTCTGTGAACTTCAGAGGCATGACTTATTCAGAAGAAAAACAATCTTCAATTAACCCATAGCCTGCTGTTGTTTCTTCCTGAAAACAGCAATGCTGTCTGGGCTTGAACAATAAGACAAATGAGCTCCAGGAAGATAATTATCTACTAGCCCTGCTGGATGAGTGCTGCCTCCTTTACCAGAAGTGGCATGTCTGCATATAACAGAAAATGGGCAGGTGGGGGTCTTGTACATTCTGTTGGATGATCCTGTGGCTGGCTGGTTTGCCACTTTATGTAAAGAGTGCTGGACCAGATGGACATTTGGCTTGATCCAACATGCTTTTCTTATGTTCTTACTTAGGTAAATGGTCTCCAGCACGTATCATGGCTTGTTTAAAATACAGTGACTATGTGAATCATGTCAATGGCTAGGCCTCTTATGCTTGTATAAGAGGGATAAAATTAGCACACACTCAAGTTTATGTTGTCTGTAAATCTTAGATTAGAAAATCCTTAGATTCCTGATGCTAAGATGTTGATCTTTATAAAGGACTATCTTGCATAGATACAGCACTCAATTACTATAGTCAGAAAGTTACTTCTACTAGTTTCAAAATAAAAATGGAAGAACTGACACCATCAGACTGACAATCAAGACACATAACAACCAAGATTCCCCCTCCCTCCAAGGTAAACAGCAAGTGGTACTCTCAAACAAAAAACTGAATTTCTGAAGAAAACAAGAAACCTTTAGCCTCCACAGTGGGTATCCCAAGTTTGGATCTCTGTTAAAAAACCTGCTTGTTTTCGTTCCTGCACTCAGAAGATACTCCGCTGGAAGTCCTTGAGTTTGTGAAATATAACGAATCTGTAACAGAAATGAGGAAAATATAAATATGATGAGTCCAGCTCCACTAATAGTTAAATGCAGTTCATGAAGATTTTCTGAATATATTCAGGCAAGATTCACAGACTAGATTTTTGTGCTGAAGCAAAGTAGTTCCCTTTACAAATCTATTCACCTAGTTGTTGTAGTGACTATTCCAAACACATCTTAAGTGGAAAACTGTAGATCACACATTTACTTGTCCAATTCCCAATTTGTTAAAAATGTTACAGAAATTAGCCTGAGTCAAAGCAAGCGATAATTTTCATAAACATGATTTTCATGCCCTTTAAAAAACAGTCTTTGATTTTACCTGAGGAGCTCAAAAAGGCATGTAATTTTTATAAAGCATCCTTGACAGGGCAACTAGGTCAATGCTACATGTTTTGTCACAATGTGCAGAAATCACTGTAGCACAGTATATGCATATATCTTCATGCCATTATCTATGGACAGGGATGCTGCTGAATTATTTGGCTCCAACTATATTTTGGACCAGATTATCAGTTTCTGGTTTGGATCCAGGAATTCAATAATGCAACAAAACTCTTAGTTTAACTTTTGGGGGTTTGTAGTGAAGACAAGTACATTTCCCATTATCATGAAAAAAACATAAAAATGGCAAAGCATCTTCTGGTCACCACTTATTCCCTAAATTGCTTCCCAGAAATTTGGATTTTTAACGGTTTGGCTGTCCTGAACAGTGACACACAAAGCAACTCTAAGATCCAGAAAATTCTATAACAGTGATGGCCATGGGTCCTCAAACTATGGCCCACGGGACGGATCCAGTTCGCCATGCCAATTCATTCGGCCCACCTTGCCGCGCAGGCGGGAGGTGGTGGCTTGCTCGTTCGGAGATGGTTTTGGACTCATTGGGAGATCTCCCAGCGAGTTCAAAAGCATTTCCCAGCAAGCAAGCCGCTGCTGCCACCTGCCTCCCCCATGCACACACACTCGCCGGTGCCTTGCAGCGCAGGCTGGAGGTGGTGGCTTGCTCGTTCGGAGATGGTTTTGGACTCACTGGGAGATTTCCGAGCGAGCGAGCTGCCGCAGTGCGTGCCCAATACCGCCTCGTGTGCACCCAACGACACCTCACCGGCCTGCACGCCCAAGCTCCCCCTCCTCACCAGCCCACGCATGTAGCTGCCGCCTTTCAGCTGGCCCCCTATTGAAAAAGTTTGAGGACACCTGGTGATGGTGAACCTTTTAGAGACTGAGGGCCCAAACTGCAACCCACTTATTTATCGCAAAGTGCCAACACTTCAATAAAACCTGAATGCTGAGGTTTTAGTTCAGAAAAAACAACTCACAGCCAGTCCAATCAAATGTATGCATATATCCTTGGCAGCATACTGACCGGCCATGTGAAAGCTCAGATGAGTCGCAGCTAATGAGTCACAGCTCGTGATGTCATCGCCTGGCACCGCTACTCCTTTCCAAGCATGCACATGGCCCTATGTGCGCTGTTATCTGATGCTCAGCTGCTGGGGTGATGCTGGGGCAACTTGGCTTGTGTGCCGACAGAAAGGGTTCTGCGTGCCCACTGTGGCACACGTGCCATAGGTTCGCCACCACTGCCCTATAAGATAACCACTAGAATAGCAATGGACAACTTGTAGCCTTCTACATGTTTTGTTAATTGTTTAAATATGGGCCATCTAATTAATGAGCACTGATTGGATTTAATCAATAGTCCTACTGTTCTCAGTTTGATAAACATGAATCAATAAGAAGTACTTTTATATATTGATAGATGTATCTTCTTGACTCACCTCTACTTACAGCAGAGAAGAGATTATGACCCACTGCCCTCTGGCACAGTACACAGTCTTCTTTCTCTACTAGCTATGTCTGTGTGGTGCTGTTGGCAGCATTCACCTTTACTGAAGGACTGTGGAATGCACATTTGCTTGACCTGACTCAGTGCTGCTGCCAGGTGCCTCTACTGGAGATGCCTATATGCACACTTTTAGTTGCAGTCACTCAAGTAAACAGTTCCATGGAAGGGAATTTAGAAAAAGTACACACTTTAGAAAATGTACATCTGAAACTGAAAATAACTGTGAAGAAGTAGGGTAGTTTCCTTACTACAAAATTAAACATAGAAACAGAGCGAGTCAGAAGGAGCCTCCTGGGCCATCTACTCTGACTCCAGCTAGCTCTGCTCATGACATGCCTACCATGTTATGTTAGTTCTAAAAAGCTTCATGAAAGAGATGATCCTTTGAGGGCAGAGTTGGGCTCCTGGCCATTGAGATGTTTTGGCCTACAAAACTCAGCATCCTTCACTGTTGGCTACAGCTGATGAGAGTCACTAGGGCAAAACCTGTAAAAGACAACAAGTTGTACATCCCTGTTCTAGTGGCTATCTTATAGGATTTTCTGGAGCTTAGAGTTGCTTTGTGTGTCACTGTTCAGGACAGTCAAACCTTTAAAACACCAACTTGCTAGAATGCTTTAGGGATTAAGTGGTGAGAAGAAGATGCTTTCACATTTTTATGTTTACACTAAAGAAATTCAATTATTTACACTAAAGAAAATCCAACTGAGTTCAGTGGCACTTATTTTATAGTAAGTCTCCTTAGAATTGTAGGCTTAAATAGTACAAAGTCAGCTCACAACACCTTTGTGTTACCAAAAATGAAGCTAAATTAGCACAGTTCACGAAGTGCCAAAGGTGAACTGGGGAACTTTTTTTGGTCTCAGTACTGGATTGTGTCCCCCCACCCCCACCCCCTAAAGAAATTAGAGAAAGACATAGAGGTGCTGGTTAATTTCAGTGCCTTCACTTCATCCAGAGTTGGGATGCACTGCAAATTAGCTATCAGAGATAACAGTGGGGATTCCTTTCCCCTTGGGGAATTCCTGCAAAGAAGTGGTGGTGCCTGGGGGAATACATGGGGCTTAGAAGAAAGACTTCAGTGGACCAGATGAGGAATTTAAGACAAGCTGGAAATTCCCCATCTCTGTGCTGAAGTCTTCTTAAAATCAGACTCTTATATGGATTCTGTTTTTAATAATAATTGAACAAACATCACATACTTACCTGATCATATTCTGAAGCTCCTGGGTATAGAGGCCAACCAAGAAACAGTTCAGCTATCACACAGCCCAATGACCACATATCAATAGCTTCACAAAATGGCAGACCCAGGATTATTTCAGGAGCTCTGCAAAACATGCAGTAATATTCTACTCATTAATCAGGAACTCTGCAACCAGAATATACTACCAAATTTACCAATCCCATTGGCCTGAGTGCAAACTAAAGTAGATTATCAAATTTACCATCTTGTATTTTCCATGGTAACTCACTCAGCATTTCTTCTGCAGAAGAAATGTACAACTGATAGCCAAAAAAAAAAAGTCCCATGATCCTTAAAATGCATTAACATGTATTGTGGCATGCCTGATAATGTTTGGCATCTAATAAAGTGGAGGCCAGCAAACCTTTCTGTGGGCTTTTCATTGTTCCTGGCTGCAAGAGAATTACATTGGAATTTGTCAGAACTCATACCATTACCTCAAAATGTATCTAACTTATTTATTCAGACAGAAACACTAATGCACACAGTTTCCATACCGCTATTACTGTGCAGTCTTTATTTCAAGAGGTTTAGTTAGACTGAATCAACAAGACACAGAGTTCAAAGTCCAAGGGAATTACTTTTCAGTAACCAGGTAAGAGCTTGGCCTGTTAGTGCTCTAAAAGTGCAAGAAGAAGGTGGGATATAAATACAGTCAAACCTCAACTTTTGAGGGTTTGACAGATTTGATTATCTCCGAGTTTGCCATCAATTATTCAATGGGAAGTTTTTTGGAGTTTTGCAGTTCCAAAATTGTTATCACCACAGAGAGAGAAAAGGTGAAAGGGAGGGCAGAAGGGCATCCAAAGAAGGGCATCCAGAAAGGGAAATCCCTCTGGAATTTCCTTGGTGCACAGATGAGGCACTGGTGAGTAAAAGGTACAAGAACATAAGAATGGAATAAATGAAGAAGAGGAGCCCTGTTGGATCAGACCAAGGCCTGAGAAAGAGAGGGAGAACAAATCCAGTGCACATATGCTCAGGGGCGGGGGGGGGGGGGCAAATATTCCTGTTTTTACTACTTTTGCAGGAGTCCTGCACCCCTAGCCCCTGCAAATGTGTAAGACTAACAGTATAACAAAAATAAATAAATGTTTGTTTATTTTAAATACATAAATGCAGTGAGAACCAATGTAATGCAGCAGTTAAGAGTGTGAGGCTGGGATACAGGAGATCTGGGTTCTAGTCCCCACTTAGTCATGGAGCTAACTGGGTGACTTAGGATCAGTTAGAGACTCTCAGCCTGACCTACCTCACAGGGCTGTTGTGAGGGTGAGACTGAAAGAAGAATTGTGCAAACAAATTTGAGTTCCATCAAAAGAAACAAATATGGGATATAAATATATTTATTTATATTACATATAAGAAATAAATAAACAAACCAGTTTGGCATACAGTTCACTACAGTATTTCATGTAGCTTATAGTTACCACTTAAGGCCTGAAAACAGTCTTTGAAAGCAACCCCACTGCCTACTATACTATTAATCACTAGCAAACATTTCCACCAATGCACAGAAATGTGCTCACAAACTTCTATTTTGACTGAGCATCAGACAACCCCTCTGTCCAGCAACACACTTTTCTCAGTTTCCTTACTCTCTGTCCCAAAGGACTCTGATCTCTGCTTACTGTCCTTCGTCTCTTATTTTAGCTGCCTCTTTCACCTCTTCTCTTTAGACCGATGCCCTAGCAAATTCTCCAGCTCTTAGACAATACAATCTTAAAGTCTTATACTGACATTCAGTTGCACTTCCGGACAGTACAAATGCTAAATTTAATTTATTTGTGCACGCTCACGTTTTTTCTGGACCTTTTGTTTCAGGAGTGGAAGAATTCCTTTGTGTTCTTAAAAGTCAATGTATTAAAGCTCTGAGATGAGAATGGGTATAATTAAATAATTGCTGCTGATGTTACAAAGGTTATGATGTAATTTCCTCCACCTCCCATTAAGCAGGAGAAAGAAAGACTTCTTTCTTGTACAGTTTTTTCAGTAGGAAGTGGAACTAGTGAAAGGTTACAGATATCTAACCCAATATGCTCCATATGTTTTGCACTGCAGTTCCCATAATACCTAAGCAATGGCCATGCTGACTAGAGCTGATAGGAGATGTAGTCTAAACCAGCCTGCCATTGGTTTGGTTTTTACCTATTGAGCCTAAAACAACAGAGTGGTATTGGGAAATAGTGATGGATAGATAATTGAAGACATTCGGTGCAATTTATAAAGTATTTTGCATAAGAAAATTGGTCTAACCATGTTTGTGTATAGTACTACTGTTAGTCTTATTCATTGCAATAGAACTACTCCAAATAGGACAATTGTTGGACACAACCCAGTTGTTTGCTTTTACAAACAGGTGGCAGTGGTCGTGAGGAGTGCTTTTCTGCAGTTTCAGCTGGTTTACCAACTGTGTCCTTACCTGGATGAGCATTGCCTTGCAACAGTGACCCATGCTATGGTAACTTCCTGACTGGATTATTGTAATGTGCTCTATGTGGGGCTTAAAGACAGTCTGGATACTTTAGTTGGTTCGGAATAGAGCTGCCAGGATGTTAACAGGGATCAGCAGGCATTCACATACGCCGGTCCTGTATCACTTACACTGGCTACCGATTGAAGTCTGGGCCCAATTTAAGGTGCTGGTGATGACCTATAAAGCCCCAAAATTCTTGGGTCCCAGGTACCTGAAGGAATGCCTTCTTCCTTGTATGTCCTCCCACCCTGTGAAATCTGAGGCACAGCTCCTTCTTCAGGAGCCCTCCTTGAAAGAGACTGAGGGTGGTTAGCCAGAGAAGGGACTTCTCTGTGGTGGTGCCCTAACTGTGGAATATGCTCTCCAGATAAGTTCACCTGGCGCCAATGCTTTCTTTTTTTCAGCACCAGGCAAAACCCTTTTTATTTTCATGTTATTTTAATTGTCAAGTGGTTTTAATTGTGGTTTTAATATTTAATCATTGAAAGCTGTGCCAATTTTATTTTATTTGTGCTTGTTGTAAAGCATCCCAAGATGCCAGTTATGGGACGGTCTATAAAGGCTTGAATGAATGAATGAATGAATGAATGAATGAATGAATGAATATGCAACCAAATCCTGAAAAACAGTGTTTTTGTAGAGTCACTCAATAGATTTGCAGATAAGAGACCTGAATCAATGCCGAATATAGTGCCCACCAAAAACATGACACAAGTAATTTACCATCAAGGTGTTGGGGTGAAGCATTATGCCCACTATAGGATTAACACTCTTGTAAACATCTGGAGAATGAAAAGTTGTCCCCTTCTTTAGTACATAGGGAAGAACTGCACACAGGGATTCAGCTTAGCAGTTTTTCTAAACAAGGTTATTCTCACTTCTTGCACTCAAATCTCTCTGTAAACATAGCCTCTGCCTCCAACTATACCCTCTTCCTGGAGCAACAATAAGGTGCTTGGAAACTTTCATGTCACCTTTTGATAAACCACAGCTTGTTCTGCCATCTGAACTTGGCAAACTGTGGTTAATTCTACTTTTACAACCAACTTCCACTGGTAGTTTATAAAGCCCTCCTGTGTACACTAAGCACCGATAAAATTAAACAAAGTTCCAGGGTTGGAACAAGGGAGAAGGACCAGAATACCTGAAAGATCGCCTCCTTCCCTATATACCCTCACACCCCTTAAGATTGCCAGGGGAGGCCTTGCTCTGGGAAACCTCTTTGAAGGAGGTACGGAGGGTGTCTACCTGGAGAAGGGCCTTCTCTGCAGTGGTGCCCAGACTATGGAATCTGCTCTCCAGAGAGGTCCACCTGGCGCAGACGTTAAACTCCTTCCAGCACCAGGTAAAGACCTTTTTCTTTAACCATTTTCATTTTAATAATTAAACTATTAATATTAATATAAAATTAAGGTTTTCGATGTTTTATTTTTTTCCCACAGTCGCATTTTCTATTCTTTTCCTCCTCCTCTCTTTCTCTTACTTTTATGATGTGCTGTTTTATACTGTTTTAATAATTTTTTATTGTTGCATTTTTGTAATATTTTACACTGTGTAAGCCGTCCTGAGTGCTTGTCAGAAGGAGGGGACATAAATGTTTGTAATAAATAAATAAAATAAGGAAAATCAGTAAAGAACACCTTCTCCCCACTTCCACCAGTAGGTTCTCCATAGCACTGGGGTGCCCCTGATGGCCACCATGGTCATCTGTCTTCAGCCAATCTGGTTTCAATCATCTTGAACTGAAATACACTAATGTAACCACCATGAATATTTCAGAAACTTAGGATGACACATGGTCTGAAATGGTGAGGGGGAGACTTATTTTGTGTGCTTTTTGGATAGAGTTTGTTTTCCAAACATTCACAGTGTGCACAAGGAAATAAAACATGGAGAAAATAAGGACTAATTACTTCTGCAAGAAATAGAAGCACAATAGCAAACTAATTAGTGATGGAACACAATTAAGACTTGTTAACGTCTATGCCAAAAGGACATATATGAATGCCATAACAAAAGGGTAGCCCTTATTATGTCTATTCTTCTTAACTGTAATCCCAGTTCAGCAAAAAACACAGACCATTACCTTCTTCAGATATGTGAATGTACCTTAATATGTAGCTCTTTTTCTAATATTCGCAGCCTAATATCAATATGTGCCATAAAAATTCATTCCAGATAAAAGGCAGTTTCAATAAACTAGAATAAATCCTAGTTTGGAGAAGGAATTTATCTATAATAACGTCACAATCATGTGCTTTGTTCAGATCCCACCTACACCGCATAGCTGTTCCAGAACATCAGAAAATGGAGTAAGTCATGAAGTAGATAATAAGTATACTGCAAATGTTTCACACAGAAACAGGTTACTCAGCCTGCTCCCTGTTAATAAGGGACAGAACAGTCAAAGTAATGTACTTCCATTTCCCAAGCAAACTTAGTAATAAAGAAAAATCCTTGGCAATCCTGCCTTCATCCTCAGGTATGTATAAACTGGGTTTTCAATATGCACAAATTTGCACCAAAGGAAAATATGCAACATATCAAGAAAGTTAACAGAAAATAAAACACCAACTCAGCAAAGTGAGGCAGCCATTTCCCAGAACTAGATGGCTTAGCCAGATCCTTTTCAGTCATACTGAGCCATTTGCTTGTGGTATATACTCAACAGAATTACAGGGACTCATCTTGGGAAAGAAGAATGGTACTGGGTATAATGATGCAGTAGTCCTTCAATCTCTAATCTTCAGTTATTTCTGAAATGTCAACTTGTAGCCTGTCTTTGTCTGGGCCTTTTTCCCCTCCTCACAACTTGGGTCTGAAACTGACTGACACTTTGTTTGCATAAAAGTTTACTGACAGTATTTCAGGCACTGTTAAATGATGAATGTTTACAGAAAAAGCTCCAAGTTGAAGCATTTAAAGGTGCCAATTCAGGTAATGTATCAATATCAAATGGAGATAGGCCATAAACTTGAACGTAACATTCTCAACCTGCTTATTTTTATTTAACTTTCCATAAAAGAACAGCATACAGATACAGAATTAGCTATGGCAGAGTTGCAGCTGCTAAGCAGCCACCCTGCACCAACTCCCAAGAGAATGTACAAGATCCATCACGTTACATCTCTGTCACTGTTTATGGCAATTCTGAACACCACTGATAGTGTTTAAATACTTCAGAATATAGAATTCCAAAATCCCTACCACCTTCAAAGGGCCAACCAAAAGAATGCATAAGTATAGTGGTAATCTCCCTCTGAAAAGCTGAAGACTGGGCCATTTAAACCATACTGCAAGCCTGCACTGTGTAATTTTGATAAAGTACATTGAAAAATGTTACTAGTTGAATATCTCCCCACAGTGAACATGTGTATGAAATATACTTAGTGCTCATTTATTATGATTTATTCTTTGGCCTACTAGGAAAGATAGTATTTGACCCTTTCCTTCGTGTAACATATCTTGGCTGTTAGACAAATAGAGAAGGTAGAAAATATTAACTGCTGTCCTAGAAGTACTGAAGAAAACCATATATATTGGAATTTCCCACAGAATCCCTAATTGAAAATGGGGTCTAGGAAGCTTACATTCAGCTTTGTAGAAGCTTCAAACATAATGGCCCTATTTGTTTAAGCCTAGGCTCATGCCAGTACATAAGTGTCACCTGTTTAATTAACTACCCAGTTGCAACAATGTGATATTAGTTTCTGTGATGTGGAGACTTTAGTGTTTTACCTTTCCAAGGAACAGAATAGGTTTGATCCAATGTCTTTATTCTACAAGAAGAGAATTCAGGGTGTGTGTGTGGTGGGGGGAGAGATTTGGGGGATTCTGCCCTCTTCTCAGCAATATCTTCTGAGTTTAGTGTTTTCAAGGGACCAGAAAGTTTTTGGGGAAAGAAGAGGAGGGGAAGTCCACTTTCTCCACTGCAGTGGATCTAACATAAATGGGATCCCAATGAAAGACTCCCGATTGCAAAATACAAAGATAGGCATATTTGGCACTTTCAAAGTTGTTCCCATTATTTTTCAGGTGATTATCCCTAACAAGTATGAGAGAATATATGTGTAATCAAAATACACTTCTCAGTAGGAAATAAATGTTAAGTACCAACAGAAAAAAAACTGAAGGTAACCCAACAACCTCAGTAAAAGAGAGTTGAACCCTATTGATCCGGGTAAATGGTTATGAATAAATCTGCACATTTCTTTGTGTTGCTAAAATGCATTGTCTATTTTCATTACCTTTATCTTTCTTTCTTTAATGTCAACAAGTAAGGAAAGGACATGCAATTGTCCTTACATTTTACAAGTATTCTACTAAAAATGTCTACATAATAATTTAAATTGCATTAAGTGTACTATAATTCTTTTAAACCTGAAGTCTTTTTACTAGGCATTGTACATGATGATGTCGATAAACAAGCTATGTATTTGATTTTACATGTAACTACTGCAGCAAGGATTGCATTTGCCCAACATTGGAGGAGTGAAGAACCACACACCGATGAACCGATTTTTAAAAAGATTCTGGATTGCGCTGAAATGGACAGACTGACTTTGTCTCTGAAGGAGAAAGAGGATACATCCTTCTGTCAAACTTGGAACTCTTTATCATTGACTAGAGAAACGGGACTATGCATAGATTTGAATATATTTACGGATTGCTATTAAAAAAAAAAAATAGGGGGTGACCCAGCAGGTCTGATGTTTCTGATGATTGATGTTTTTTAGTTTCTTTTTTTTAGTTTGTTGAAAATAATAATAAAATTTATTCAAAAAAGTGTACTTTCTTTTCTTCAAATATTCCAGGTCAAATACTAATTATTAATAATATTAATGTGCTAAACCACCTTCTACAGCATGGGAAAAGAGATTCTCTGAAAATTATCATAATTTCTGGGAATGTTTAACCCAGAAAGGATACGTATACAAAGGAAAATTTTCCAGTTAAATAATTTCCAGAAAATCTCTCTCATCAGCTTATATGTGTACAAAATGTAATTCAACGTCAGCTCTTACATATAATAGATCTTTGTGAAGCAGGATAACTAATACTTCAAAATGCAGTCATCAGATATTTGAAGGTCAGCATTAAGCAGAACTGGAAATCAAGCTTCAAAGAACTGCTGTGGCTGTCCAACTTGCGCTAAGAAAATCAAGGAAGTTATTGCAGAGCACATGTGCATTCCTGGTCTGGACAGGTCACAACTGCCAGCATACAGGGCAGAAAGAACAGATGTTTCACTGATCTCAAGGATAACTCTGCTTCAGTTCTGTGATTTCATGCTGGGTCCTCTTCTTGAGAGGTGCCAAACTGTTGCACAGTTTTAGTTCCCTACCTAAAAGCAGCAGCTGGGTTTCTAACTTTGAAGTCATGGTTGTGAACAGGGAAGCACTATGCAATTTGTTTTTCTGGGACTGATACAGATTTGCATTTCACTTGGCTGTAGAAGAGCAAGCACAGATGCAACAGATGCCTCCCACCTGGAAGCAGCTTTCATTCATTCCCCCACTACTTCTTGCCTACACTAACAAACCTTGAGATTTTGGCAGAAGATATGCAATGGGTGGAACATACAAAGATGAGATCTATAGCTCTTGTCAACCCCATCTTAAAGTGCCTTAGAAGCATCACTGCCATTCAAAGAAATATCAAGCATAATCAAACAAAGAGCTATTTTTACTTTCCTCACATCAAAGCCACTGTATATAGTTTATTCTGCTATGGTCAATCTTCCTTGATTTAAGTAATTAACATCTGTGAGCAGTGAAATGGCAAGACAACGCTTCACGCACAGCTAGATGAATTATAATACCATGTTCAGCTTAAGGAAAGGAGACAAAGACCAGCTGCTTTCATGTCACGTTGTACAGGGCCCTTTGCAAAGAAACGGGTATACCAACACTTACCACTATTAGTTCTTTGGATTAGCTTCACATTAGGCTACACAAATAAGATGTTTTTCTTTTGCCTTAAATGTAAGATGGTCAGACAGATAGCTCCACTGGATACATTGCAGCTCAGATCAGGTGAAGGGGAAGGAGTAACTACTCAGATACTATATATTGCAAATAGATAGGTTTACAGTGCGCTCATATATACGTTTCCATTCACTATGCTCCTTCACATCATTACAAGGTTCTTCAAACATTCACACCAGAACAGAGAGTGAAGAACTGGAAGATGGTGGGATGACAAAACTTAGCTTTGAAGACCTCAAAAGGGTAGGATAACCAATAATATTTTTCAGTTAAAATTGATAAAGCCTACTCGGTATTGGCGTCAGTTTGCAGGTTTTAAGATAGCTAGTATTTAGGCTCATCAGATCCATGAACTGCTTGGAATATTTCCAATATTTGGAGTAATTTTGCACAGCAATGTTAACTCTGTTTTGTAACTCTAAGAAATAAAAAGCTTCAAAAAGGCCAAGAGAAATTCAGGAATACAGTATGTTTGATGTTGTATTGCAACCTAACATCTATAGAAGCCTTGCAAGTAGCCTTTGAAATACAGACTCCAACCTCTGTTTCATTGCCAATTGCTTAATTTTCCCCCTCTTCCTGTCCCACTAACATGACACAAAGTACAATTCTGTTTCTCCCTCTCCTGAAGCCTGAGATGGCTCCCTTCTGTTAGGCTATGAGGGGACAGAACACTGAAGACCTATAACAGCCTGTGATCAGTAACCCCTCTACAACACAGAGTTATGCTAAAGTGAGAACACACATGTGGTTTGTCCTGAAAAAGGGAGGGGGGTGTGCCATTCAGTATGAGGGTGCACAAAAGATAATATAGTTTGAGTACCCATCTGCACATTGTACCTGCCTGTTCAACACCACAAAACAAGTACAACCTATTTTAACACCTAGTCTATGACTTATAGGAACTAACATCCATACACCCAAATCCAAAATAGCTACGTTAGGTGTGCCCATATACTTAAGCATAGCTAGAGAAATAACAGTTTTTTAAAAAATTTCAAGTGGTTAGTCATGTGGCACAGGTGACTACTATTCAAGGGGAGTTCAACCCTCCCCACCATCCCTGGAACACAGAACTTGTTATGTGATCTTTGAAATTCTTAACAAATGGCCAACTGAACTCACATCAGATATTAGAAGTATACAAATGTTCACCTTCCAAATATCAAGTAATGACATTTGTTTTCCCTTGAAGCCTGTAGTCATCTTACAACAGTCAGGCTCCCAAATTCCCATTCATTTTTAATAATTTAGTTATTTACAGAAATGTTCCTGTTTTGTAAAGGCTTTGAGAAAGCTGCTACTCAAATGTAAAATTTAAAAAGAAAATGGGGAAGAGCAGAAGCTGAACACAGCCAATGTGACTTCAACAGAAGTTAGGTATCAGAAGGCAAAGGAGGCATGCCACACAAGGTTATGCTTGAAGACATGAAATAGGAACTTACCTATAATAGCGTGATTGCAAGTAAGTAGAACACACGGCTTTTGACACATGACTAGCAGAGCCAAAATCAATGACCTTGACCCTGTATGGCTGACGCACAGGATCAACCAGCATGATGTTCTCAGGCTTTAGGTCAGCATGTATTAGACCCAGACTTTTCAGTTTCATCAAGGCAGTAGCTACCTGTTGCAAAATTGGCCGAATATATTTCAGAGGCAGGGGACTAAATTTATTTTGTTTCAAGAAGTCATACAGGTTTTGCTCCAGCATCTCAAACACCAAACACGTGTGGTTTTTGTGTTGAAAGCACTCGTATGAGCGGACAAAGTTATATTCATCAGCATTTTCACTACTCAGTCGAGAGAGGATGCTCACTTCAATTTGCCCCTGCCTGGCATATGAAGGGTGATTTTTCAGAATTTTGATAGCTACAATCTCTTTTGTGCTGCGTTTCCAGCATTTTGCCACCTGCCCAAAGGTCCCACGGCCCAAGAACTCCAAGACTTCATAGCTGTTTGTCATGGAACAAAGGATTTCATGTTGGACCAGCTGGTAATCCCCTTCACCACTGGAGCTACTGCTTTTGGTTGTTACAGTGGTGGTAGTGGCCGCAGCACCCACCGCAGGTCTGTTTTGCAGCATGAGAGGTGGATGTTCCTCAATTATTTGCACGCTACCGTTGCTGTCAACTTCCTCACTTTTCCTTTTTAATCCACATTTTTGATACGGTTCCAGCAAAGCAATGTTAGCCCTATGTGTTAGGGCCTGGCTGTTTTGGAATGATGTTGTTCCACCACTGCCTGTGCTGTCCGCTGCTGTAACGACAATGTGCTCAACTGAAGGAGCAGGAAGAAGGAGGCTCTGGTCATAAGCAGGGATGCTGAAATTTGCTACCTGGTGAGAGGAACTTGTTGGTCCTTGAGCACCTGGGAGATTTTTGCTGTGACTGTAATACTCGTCACTGTTACTCTGTCCTGAAACATCCCAGCTAGAGGGCTCCACTTTCAGTTTCTTGGCACTGCAGAAGGCACTCGAAGATACTGATGGAGGGGAGAACACTTGCAGCTGTGAGGCCATACCTGAGAAGGAAAACAAAGAGCTAATCAACAAATAGGACATATAAAGTGCATGAAGCAAAATGACATGGGAGGCAAGGGCATCCAGAATAACAGGTTTTATCCATTGATTAAGAACCCATTGTGCAATCTCAACAAGAATTTTCCCAAAAGTTCATGTTGTTGGGCCAAAAAAAATGTGGGGGCTGTGAGGTCTAAATACAGCCTGATTAAAAATATACACATATCATGGCTCACCATCTTAACCTCACTTGGGTCACTATGGATGGAGACAGTACATAATAAAAAACTCAAAATAATTTTAGTTTTGGATAGGCAAAATGTACGACTTTTCTTTCAGAATAAATATTCTCATACCTGATTGCAAGCAACAACCAAAATAATCGTAAGATAATCTTCACAAAAGATAATCTCCACTAACTACTTGTTAGTGCAAGTAACTAAAATTGGTATGAATGGCTGAGATAGTAGAAATGTTTGATAGTCTAACATGTGCACCTTTTTGCTCTTCTAGATGTTTCACAATTTTCTCTTAATCTAATAACACACACAAACTGAATAATCCACCAAACTGTGACTAGAGAAAGTGTCCATCTTTGCTCTCCCAGAAGTATAAGACACCTTTCATTAAGGACTGGAGTCATACTGCCTCTCCAACAATCACTCCTATAGATAAGTCACAGATAAAAATTATGATATCACTATTAATTAACTGAACTTCCTGACATTTATTTATTATAAAAATGAACTGGAAAAGTTCATTTATCCTGAGAAACTAGTTTAGTTTATCCTGAGAAACTAAAGCAAAATGTTTCTAACTGAAGAACAACATGATTTAACAAAAGTTATTCTTCACTGTAAGAGTAGAAGTGCTACATTAAGGGTGCAATTCTATACAAGTTCAAACAGATAAAGTCCTACAATTCCTAGCCATCCATGCTGTGAGTTTTAAGGCATTTCTTCCCTAATGTGCATAAAAGTTTCACAGTGTAAAGTATTTATTACAACTTCATCAATACTGTGAAAAGAACAATTCAAGTTAAGCAATGCCAGTATCGAATGCTAGTGGTTCTTGGTGCTATTGGACCAATATTTTCTTGTGCTTTAAGTTTACTGTTCATTGCTCTCTTATTCTTCACTAATTTGGCTATCTATATAATAACAAATATACATTAAAAAAACCTCATCACAATGAAAGGATAACTTTGGGGTAAACTATAGGCCCACTTATACATTTTATGTTCAAGTCCCAAGAGGTGGAAAGTAAAGTAAGCACAGAACTGACAGCAAGCAAAGAATGCATTAGAGTCCTAAATCTTTGCATGCTGTCAACTCACTGGAGACAGGGGTGAAGATATATTAATCTGCTATTAAAGCTTTAGCATGTGTCATCCATAAAGGCTCACAAGCTTAATAGTAAGGCACTTTTTGACTATTTACTTATCTAGAACCAAGGACACTTGCTGACAGGAAAGGGTCAAAAACTACCTCTCTAACTTGAACATATTTTATAAAAGCTTGAGATTTTAAAATTCTGTACTTAAGATTCTTTTAAGGTCTACATATCCACAGCTATTTAAGCTATGTTTTCTGCAAAACATTAGCACGAATATGACACCATACCCAAGTAAGTACATGTATGCGTCATTTGACTGTTACTAAGAATTGACTACTTTCGTAGGTTATAATCATGCTCTAACTAGCTGATTGGTTTAAACAGAGTGATTGATTCATTCATAGTGCTGTTGACACTGTTTGTGCTGCTTGATATGGACCAGTTTGGTTCCACCTTTCTCTCCAGCATTGTTACTGAAACCATTTCATCAGTACAATTTGAAATATTGCCCATATGAGCACTGAGGCTCTTCTGCACATGTCATTCTTATAACTAATGCTAAGTGCAAGTTCACACACCTCCTTACGTAGGATAAAGAATGGTACAGCAAAAACTGGAAAAGTTTACTAGAAACAATTCTACTTGGAATTTCTTCCATGTCATAACATGTAGCTATGGAGATTGCCAAAGTAATACTAGATGGTATACACAACCCAGAAGAAGTACGCCATATTTCAGTGCACTTTAAAGATGTTGAGATCCCTATGGATTGTGTGTAATGAGTTCACCTCCTCAGGAATGTAGATTACCCTAACATAAAAACAGGGTGTTTCTTAGAACCTTCCACGATATGATCAAAGCTCGGGACAGCCAGAAAACATGAAAGCATGTCACAGGACAAAAATATGCCTTATCCAAAACAACCATTTCAAAACATGTGTCTGTTTGCCAACTGAAGTGACAAACAACAGCACAACAGAAAGTCACTAGTACTCCTAGAAAAAAGTTTGAACTTCCTTTACACTGCCAATCTACTGTCCAACTAGCTATTCTAATGTCAACATCACAGCAGAAAATACTGAGCCCCCTGCACCCTGTAAGATCCAACAGTGCTTTAGACCTAAGACAAACACTTTTTAAATATGCTGTATTTCTTCCAAACTCTGAAAATGCTAGTATGTTTAGTCTTTCTAAGCTCAACTGTTAATCTATTTGTTTAAGCTGCCTCATCAGTCTGAGCCTAAATAAAAACATTCAAGACATCATATGAACTCATCTTCTTTGTAACAATGAACATAAGGTATTCATATCTTACTACAAATCAAGTTTAATTAATCCATCCTACACTAAAAGTGGCTGCCCTCATCTAAAAGAGAAGCAATAACCAGATAGCAATGTCTTATACTCCCTACTTTAAAGAAGGAGCAGCATGTACATGTTCTCTGTAATATTGGCACATAGTCAAGTATTTTTGAGAGTTAAAATCCTTTCCAAGAGGATTTTTTTTTCATTTTTGAGCTCTACAGCATGTTGACAGGGCTAGTAAAAACCAGTAGCAAGAGTAAAGAGTCTGACTCCATGAGATGTCCCTTCAATTTCTCCCTCCTGGGCAACTTCTGTCCTAAGATAAATGCTATGCTAAAGATATTACCAAGTTTCAAAGAACAACCACAATACTTTTCCAGTAAAATGCTTTTTATCAGTATCCAGGAAATTCTCACCCCAACATACATGTAAGGAAGGTCAGATGCCACATCAGCACCATTTATGCTTCATAGAACTAATCTGAGTGGAAAATCCTATCAGTACAAATGGACACTGTTTGCTGCTACCCAATTCTCCAGCATTATTGCTACTTCCTCAGTAACAGTGCAAGTTCACGCTCGACCCTCATCTGGTTCCAATAAATAGGAGGGTGTGTTCTCAACAGTGGCAGATTCTGCATGTCTGAGTAATGACCTAGATAGCTTCAGCATCAGGACTGTACTATCATGGCTGATTTCTAGACTGTTATCTGCTCAGTTATTATATCAACACATACACAGGGCTTACCAGGGATATCTTGGAATGACCACTTCTAACCAGAGCACTAGACTAGATAAGCCTTTGATCCTATGCAACAAGGCAATTATTTTGCTCATAAGCAGACAGCATAACAAATTAAAGGTACTGGGCAGGAAGTTTTCTCCTTCTCATATAATATTAGAATTTAAGGTCATCTAATAAAGCTAAATGGAGGGAAATACAAAGCCAACAGAAGCATACAGCACATAACTAAATTATGACATTAACTTTCACAAGATATAGAGACAGCCACCACATTGTACAGCTTTAAAAGATTTGCTGAATTCAATGAGGATAAGCCTATCAACAGCTACCTGTCACTAGTATTCCTCTGAATGCCATTGGAGAACATTAGCAGAGAGTTATTGTAATCAGGCCCTGTAATCAGGCCACATACATATGATTAGCTGCTAAAGGAACAGAATACTGGACTAGACAGGCTGTTAAGATAAATACTTTGATGGATTAGATCATTACTCTTCTTTACTTACAGCAAAGAATACCAGGGTACTTGCCCTCCATCACAATCCCCGATTGCTGTTAATTCTACTTAAGATTTATGGGAGCTATATCAAAAACATTTGGAGGAAACCAGGTTGCCCACCACTGATACAGAATATGTCTGCCTTCCTAAAATCTGTGCACTTTACAGACAAACACAGTGGCTCAATGATTCCAGTGCCACCAGAAGATCTTTAAGTACATGTGCTATAGATCAACCAACACAGTATCTATTAATAATGAAAAACATTAAACTGCCCATTCACATGTCGTAATATCTACTCCAAGTAACATCAGTTGAGGATTTCAAGACTTAACTTGTCTTGATCAAAGACAATTTTTATAGCAGAAATTATTCTACAGAGACCAATCATTTCTACAATAGATGATTACAGACTTTTCATTTAATCTAGCAACAGACAGACAACTTATCTTTAGGTCCCTACAATTAATGCCAAAGCAGAATGTTGGGCTTTTCTCTGTACACAACACTTAAGACCTGCTTTGGTTAAAAGCACAATCACACTGTGGAAAGTTTGACAAGAGCATTTGCAGCAACAGAACACCATCATTAATACAACTTATTTGAATTTATCAACATAATCAAATGTAAACAAAGAGTTCTCTGCTGGGGCTACTGGCAAAGTCAACAGCAGTTCGAACTATCTCAGAGTTACTATATAATCTGAAAAACACTAAACGTTTTTAGCATTAAATGCCTCAAAGTGGGGAACTTGTTTGAGAGTGACAAGACTTTGTTTTGCCTTAAGTAACACACTAGCTTTGGTAAAAAGTTGGAGACCAGCTCAACAGGTATAGCAAAACTACCAGTAGCAGAAGCTCAGCCTTCTAAGAGCTTGTACGAAGACTTCTTTCAAAGTACTCCAATTTAAAATTGGAGCCGGTGGGGTGAGTTACTCAATTTTCCCAAGCCACTTCGAAACGGGACGCAGTTCCCAGAAGCAACGTAACAGATAGGAAAGAATTAGTAAAAATTCCACCCGCTCTCTCCCTCAACAAATGCGCTGTAGGGAAACCCACGACTGAACATGTCTCTTCAAGATTCAACTAACGGGGTTTGGGGGGAGGGGGAAGAAAGGTGTACTGCGATCTGGAGAAATACACTTTCCCCGAAAATTTGCCCATTATAACCGAGCCATTGCGGGGGCTATCAACGCACCAAGAACTGTCTGATGATGTTCACTTTTGTTGGCGATCTTCGGCCGTCGCCTCCCGATAAAGGCCTCACTGGCGGCCAGTGAACCGAAGAACCGTCTTGCTCAGCAGGGGCTGAAAGGGCCCCGCAACGGCCTGTCCCCTTCGATCCCACCCCAAGTTCGCCCTGAAGGACGGTACTTACTCGCCGCCGTTGGGGGTGTCTCAGCCACGGGCCGGGCCGGGAGATGCCTGCCGGGGGACGAGCGGGCGCATCCTAGTCCTGGAATACGGCGCCGGCAAGGGGGAGCGCGGCCGCCACGGCCCTCTCGAGCCGGCCAGCCCACGGGCAGCCCCCAGGCCGCTCAGCTGCCGTTTCCGCCAGGCTTTGACCGCCGTCGCCCGCCAGCGAGCCCGGCCCGGCCCCCACTTCCTTTCACGGTGGTGCCGCCGCCGCCGCGCCCTCGAGGGCCCCTCAGCTCAGCGCAGCTGCTCCCGCTCCGTTCCGCGCCCCTCGACCGAGCCAGGCTGAACCTGTCGAGCCCGGAACGCAAGCGACTCCTCACGCTTCAGTTTGATAGGCAGAAGCAGCCGAGGGCCGAAAGACAGATAGGGGAGGGCATGGAGGCCCACGTGACCAACGACCGCTGAAGCTCCGCTGATTCCGTGGAATCATCGAAGCTAGCCGCCATGATCAGCTAAATAGGCCGAATTACAGCAAACATTTTCTCCGCTAGTCGCAGCTACAAAACGTTTTTATGAAATGTGAATAAATGCTCTTGCCGCTATCAGCATCCCCATCTCTGGATCTCCCATCTGGTGAAAAGATACGATGCAAAATACGTTTTACAACCTCAGCCTCTGCTCTTTTACTGAGAGCGGAAAATCCTAGTGAATTCAATAGGACTCCCTCGTGGATGGTAACATGCGCGATGTGAGCTTTCTCTAGGATTAGCTACCTGCCGTCTCAAGGCTGGAGATGCGCCCGTCGTTCCGGGTCCAATGGTCCATGTGCGGCTGAGCAAGAGAGGAAAGATGGCAGCCTGACAGAGCGGGCAGAATTTGCGGGACGGCTTAGCAACCTAATCCTCAGGGATTCGGGCTTTCAGCACCCCAACTCTTTACCTAGGCTTCAGTCTTAAATGCCTGCACTCGGTGGGGCGGGGGGGACTGCACTCAATAGTCCACGGTTTAATTAGGTTTAAACAGGATCGGGTTGCGCGTCCGTTTCTTTGCCTAAGTTTCCAACATGCGGAATCTTAAAGATTAGCCTTCCCTTGTGCTTCACATGTCACGTAGCTTCCTTTTACATTTTATCCCAAGCAAGTAACTGAGGGATTCACTTACCTCTTTTCTTTTTTAACATGGTCATCGCCTCGCTGTGCCGAATGCTGGCCTGCGCATTCTAAGTTTTCACCTTCACGTAGGATCAATCATTCAGCGATTCAGTGAAGCAAAAGAAACCAGGGTCACACGTTTCTCTTTTCTGGATCTGCCAGACAGTGGAGAGCCTCCGATCAAAGCCGAAAAGAAGATCTGACCGTTCTCTGTTGAAGGCCTGAATTCCTGCCGGGGCAACAGGTATCCACTACAAACAAGCTCTTAGGATTCCTTCTAGAATTCTTTTCACCTTAAAACGGACAGCAAAGTATTTTATTGGAATGTTTCAACTCGATTAAATGCAACATTCTGATAAACGTATTAGCGGATTTCTTAACCTACACTCCGTTATTCCTCCTGCAATGTGTAACTATTGGTTTTAGCACCTTTAGGCACTGGGGTGGGAAAAGTTTACTGGCCCTTGAAATTCACGCAGTCTAATCAGTCCTCATTTAAGACACTTTCTTCTAGATCTGCCTTTGGAGGCAAATCTAGCCAGTTTTGTTACTGCCACAAGTAATTCTGAATGATATGATCCTTGTAAAGTGTTTTGTACCTTCAAGTTTTAAGCTTCCTTTTTTGTTAAGGCACCGAAAGTTAACATTTATTTACATTAATTATAAAAGCCAGATCTCCAGGAGCTGTAGGTGCACTGGGGAACCTTAGTAGTTAAGTAATTCTGTGTATCACAGTATTCCACACCCTTCAATATTAGGGTATTTCTACTTATCTGAGTAAGGGCTAGATTATCACCCTCATTGTACAAATGTGGTTTAAGATTAAAGAAATAAAGCCCCAAATTACTTTAGTGTGCACATATGGAATTGAAATTAACTTAGTTTTGGGTAGAAAGCCTCTCAGCCTCCATTATTACCTGTTTCACTTCTCTTTACAAAGCTAATGCCTATTTTAAGAATAAAACATTACTGGGCACTTGAAAGAAAGATACTTTGGAGGCTTTTCATGGGTTGCTGAGAAAATGTCCTCTAATATTTCTCATAAAAACCAAGCTGTCATGTAAATACAAATCCACTGTGATTAAGGGTCCTTATATTTGTGTATCTAGCTTAAAATAATAGTAGGTCCCATTTATAGTGGACTATATATCCATGCACTGGCACCAGCTAGAATTGAGAATGGTGGCCCATTAGCTGTTAACTCGTAGAATTTCTAGCTACTGGAGAAATCTGTAATGCCCTCTTCCCAGTTTAGAGAGAAACACTTCCCTGAAAACTTTTCAAAGTATTAATCAGCATTATTCTAATACCATACTTGACTGTCTGGAAACAGAAGAGGAACAACAAAAGATAAGGCAGGGTTTCTACATTTGTAGGGAATTTCCTAGGTGTGCAGAGGTATATAAATGTATGCATTAGGAAATTTTTTAAGGCTGCATCAAAAGCACCCTAATAAAGTGTGAATCTATGAGATTCTAGAACTGAGAATTGCATGGGGATAAACCTAAGCCCAGGAAAGATGTTAGACTAACTCATTGCACCATCTGGAGAACTTCCAGATTTTTTCAGACCTTGTGTTTCTGTCTCCCAGGAATGTTCTCCTACTCTTGGCTTATTTTATTGCTGGTCCTATTCACATAAGACAGTGATTTTTGCTTTCTTGGAGAACCTCCTAGGTATAGTGTTGGAATTTGTGTGTGTGAATCAAAAGGAAAATAAGTGTGAAACTGCAGCAAAACAGCTGGACCCTCCAGGATGTCACAGAAACAGGAAAAACAGAAGGGAAATGAAAGGAAATTTGTCTGCTCAAGCCCTTAAAGATGTATAGTAATATCTTAGAAACATTTCAATATAGCAGCACACAGCAAAATTAAGAGAAAAACTGTAAACAATACAGCAGGATATTTTGACAGAGAAGAGAAGGAAGTGGCTTTTTTCCTTTCCCACCCACCAAAATTTACCCTAAGCCCAAGAGCATAAAATGTTCAACTTTGAATCCCAAAATTTTCATATAGCATTAAAGAAGGTTTGCCCTTTTCCTGCGAGGCCTAAACTACACAAATAGGCTCAAATTCAGAATGCAAATACACTACAGTATTTTGTGTATAGTGTTACTAAACTAATAAATTCTTTTAGCAAGTGTATAGCTGTATTTAATAGGCTGAAATAATACTTAAAACAGTCCACCTTTAGGATATCCAGGTGGAGTCAGTCAGGCACAGAAATAGCTTAGTTACTGAAGCTTAAAAAGCAATTTCTCAGCCTGATTTTAGACTTAAAGTGTGGCAGCAGGTGGGGTGGAGAAAGAAGAATGTCTTCTGCTTCCTGTTTCCACACTTCTCTCTTTCATGCCTAAAGTAGAACTTTGATGTATTCCTTTGCTGTGAGATCTGAGTTGTTGTCACTTAAACCTAGGGACTGTCCTGTCATGATTATGGGGATTTTTTTACTAGGTTCTTCAGCCAGAGAAACAAAAAACCCTTGCCTAGGTGGCCACCATTGCTAGCTGTCCAAGTAGCTCTTGGAGGCAGCTGGCACTGCCTCCCCTCTGCCCCACTTTGATCAAGAGCTGTTTTGGGATTACCATGGCTTTTTTCCCCTTTACCATTTTTTGAGCCTCTAGGTGGTTGAGATGGTTCAAAAGTTCACACCCCTTTTTCTGGGGAAAAAGATGGGGTTCTGTTATGTTTTGACCTGAACATAGACAACCATATGCCCAGTCAAAAAGCACCCATTGCACTTTCAGAACCACCTTTTTAAAGGGACCCAAAGTTTTGACAAATGTGTTGTCACTCATTTTTCCCTAGAAAAGTGTTTGTGGGGGACTGGATGTTTGTACCTTTCAGAGAAGTGAGAGGCTTTAGAAGATGTGCAAATTGTACACCAGTGTAAAGGCTAGCTGGGTGATGGTGAGGGGGGAGGGGAGGATGAAGACCTTGCCAGGAAAGGTTAAGGGTTAATCCCAAAACACCTCATGCTTGCTTGTAAGTTCCTTCACATGTCTCATTTGTCTTGAAAGCTCATCTTTCTGAAGATGTTAAGAGGAGTTTCTTGTGGGCAGTGTCTAAAGTTGGACTCTGTTACATCTTTGCAGCAGGCACCCCCACGACTTTGTGCCAACCAAGGCTTCAGCTCTCCACAGTTATACAAGTATGGTTAAACATTTATTTTTCAGTGTTTTTGGCACTTTTTGTGAATTTTGTAAAGGTTCTAAGAGCCACAGACAGTCTCTCCATGGTGCTATTCAGAAACTTTGAAGTAGTTTTCAGCGGCTGTCAAAACCAAGCCAACTTTCTTGATTTTCCTCAACTGGAAAAAGGAAATGGAAGAAAGGCATAGCAAGCTTATTATGGCTTACAATTGCATGGCAGGGAGAGGGGAGACAAGTTAGTCCTAGGGGGTTCCCTGGGATAGCCACAGGAAGAGCAGTGCAAGGGAGAATGGATGTTATGCTGAGCCTCATCACCTGTTGGGTTTGTGGTTGTTTGGGCAACAACTCATCCACTCTGACTAATTGCCAGGGTGGGTTACTGTGATGTTCAAACATGCCCAATTGCCTCCATTTTCTTTTGGAGTTCATGCCTCTTTAATTGCTGCATGAAAGCCTGATATGCAAAGCTTTTCTAGCACAGTAGTAGAGGGGAAAGGGCATCTTTTGACAATGTCTTTGCAAAGATTTCTCCTCAACCCTTCTTGTTTCTTCTCTGCTCAGGAATTTCATATTTATTTGGATTTAAAACAGTGTATACATGTAAATAAATAAAATCAAAGGTCTTTTCTTTTCCTAAATCTTCTTAGCAGCAAAAGAATTCATGTCATATTCTTGTCTTGTGATAAAAGAATAGCTCCAATTTTCCCAAAGTGGGGCAAGAAAAGTCAAAAGGAACTGGATATTAGCTTTTTTTATTCTGCACTGTAGGCAGTGTTGCAGTGGTAAACTATAATGTGCGGAGGAGGGTGGCTGAGAAATAAACCCTGTATAAGAACCACACCTCTAGCTAGAATGTGGGGATTGCAAGGGTGGGGGGAACCCTGCTAGGGAAACTCCTAAACCATATCAGAATTCTCTGCTAAGTGTCATACAGACACAGACTCCTTCAACACAATGTACAGTGACTAAATACGTAGGCTTTTATGGCCATGATTTAAGACAATATTGGTAATAGCCCAACATCTTAGCTATCTAA